AGTTTGTATTAGAATATAAATTACTTCCAGTTTAAAAAAATTACAGCTTTGTAATGATTATCTTTTCACTTACATTCTACACTCAGGTGAAAGTATATCTGTAGATAAATTCCTGATTGCTTTTACTTGGATGAAAGAGCTTATGTAATTTTTTTTAAGATTTTATTTTTTAAATTTATTTGATAGCGCACAAGTAGGCAGAGCAGCAGGCAGAGGGAGAGGAAAAGCAGGCTCCCCGCTGAGCAAGGAGCCCGAAGGAGGGCTCCATCCCAGGATCCTAGGATCATGACCTGAGCCGAAGGCAAATGCTTAACCGCCTAGGCGCCCCAGAGCTTATGTAATTTTAATTCCAGACACTAACTTTTGATTTAAATGTATACATTTATTCATTTGATGGTTATCAGTCACTGCATATTTGGCAGTAAGTGACCATTACATCTGAATTCTGCTTTTGTTGCTTCATTGTAAGATCTAGGAATTTGGGGAGTAGCATTATTTCTTTGTTGGTCTGGTCAGGCCCTAAAAGTGCTGATTTACAATAGGGAAGAAAATAGTGATAATTCTTTTATGTCTTGTGAAGTTCTTATATATACTGTGGTTTGAGAGAGTCAGTAAGTAGCATCTTTTCTTTCCAAGTCCAGAATCAGTTAAATAGAAACGGAAGACAAGGCAGATGGTGATCTAGTCTTGCCTCTGGTACTGACACAGTGTTTGGAGAGTAGGGCCTTATCTGAACAGTGTGATAGCCAACTGACTTGTTAGTTCACCCATGGTCACAGAAAGAACTGGCAACAGGGACCTTTGTGAACTTTAAGCTTGGAGGAAAAGGGGATCTGGTATTATGATGGTGTTCAGTGTAAGATTCCAAAGAGTGAGAAAAAGAAGAGGCTAAACCACATAGGATTAGCGCCCCTCCCCACCATTATTCATCCTCGGGAAAAGTTAGTGAGGGGTGGGAAAGGAGAGAGCTCAAAAAATGATTAATCTAGCAAATCCACATGGAAGCTAGAGGAGGGAGAAATATGTATTCACTCCTAACATTCTGGGGCAAAATGTGCCATATCATATATGAAGAAATAGGTGAGAGGGCTGGAGAAATAATACTTCCCCATGTAACATGTATTCCATTGGAGCATCTAGGCTAGAATATTCTTTCTTGCCCTCTGTTCAGTACTCTCACCATTTTGTCACGTAGTCTTCAAGAGTAAGTAACCATTTGCATCTCTTGAGTTTTCCTATTTTCGTAGATGTACTGTGCAGATGTATTGCGGTTGCTAAAGTCATACCTGCTCCCCAGAGTATGTACACCTCTGCTGCACTGGGTTGGATGAGCAATCACACCATGTCATTTATTATGTGCACTTTGTTTTAGTAGGAGGATGTGGTCATATGCTAATAAATGTAAAAATACGTTAGTGTTTTTATTTATATAGTGTATACACACACTAATATGTGTGGTATTTATAATGTATTGATTGTAACTACAGTTATCATAGTGGTTATTGTACTGTATATTATAACAATAACATTTAACATTGATTCAACAAGTATGATTGGAGTTCTGCTTCTAGCTATGTCAGAAATGAGCAAATCCAGACACAGCTCCTGTATTCTAGACAGTGGGCCAGCAGTGGAAGGGAGGATGTTGCATTCATGGAATTAATAGTGTGCTGGGTGGCCTGAATACAGAGAAGGAGGGGAGTGAGTGGTAGTCAGGGACTAGACCGAGGAGGGTCTTGTAGGCTACATAACTGTGGCCTTGAAGAGCATCAAGAAGTAAGTAAAGGATTTTAAATTGAGGTGAGATGGCATGATTAGTACCTTAGAAAGATCAATCTAGTTGTAGTGAGGAGAATGGGTTTGGAGGAGATGTAGCATGAATTGGGTTGAGGCTGTTGCAGTACTCTAGGCCAGAGGGATGGTAGCTTAGAGCAAGGTAATGGTAGTGGAAATGAAGTGGAAGTATTTGAGATGTTTTGGAGGTAAAATGGATGGAGGTTGCTTGTGGTTTGGTGTTTGGAATTATGAGCTCTCTACCTTTAGCCACTTCATGGATTATAGGCTCACTCCCTAACACTGGGATCACTGGAAGAGACACATTTGTAGGAAGTAGAACTTGACTTCACTCCTGGACATCCTGAGTTGAAGTGTCCTTGAAGGATCCCAGTTGGAATTTCACATTGGCAATGAATTATGTGGGTCTGGGACTCCAAGGAGATATTTGAACAAGAGACGCATATTTGGGATCATTAACCTAGATGATTTGAAGTTGCAAATGTGGATGAGATTGCTTGGGAAGGCGGTTCTCAACTTTTACTGCACCCTGGAATTGACCTTGGGAGAAATACCCCCAACTCAGAGATTTTGATTTAATTAATTGGGCATTAGGCTTCTAGCAGCTCCCCCCAGATGGTACTCATATGTAGCCAAGGCTGAGACCCACTGTGTAGCGCAAAGATGAGCTGAAAACTAGGACTGAATCTTGAGGGACACAAACAGTGGCCATATAAGGGAAGATGAACCTGCGTGGAAGATGGTTAAGAGGTAGCCAGAGAGGTAGGAGGAAAACTAGAGGTGTGACATCATTGAAGGAAGAGAAAGAGTGACCAGTAGTGCCTGTTGCTGCTGAGAAGCCAAATGGAATTTAGACTGAGCAATATGGACATCTTTTAGTTACCATAGGGAGAGCTGTGTATGGGAAGCTTGTGGATCCTGGGTTGGAGTGGGTTGAGATGAGAGGAAATGGAAACAGTATAGGCAGTTGTTAAAAGTATTCGCGGAGGGAAGCAGTGGGGAGACGAGGTGTGCCATTGTATTAGGATGTGTTTGGTCGCCAATAACAGAAAACCCTGCTTGAATTGTGAAGAAAACTTAACCTCATTCAAGAAGTCCAGAAGAAGGTGGCTCTAGGGTTGTATATTTAGTGCCTCAACAATGTCATCAAAGACCTAGGATTTTTCTAGTGCCTCTGTGTGACTTGGACCTCAGGCTGCCTCCTCTGGCTACTGTAATTCAGATATTAAACTGGACATTACAGTCTCCAGCAAAAGAATGACTCTTGTAATCTTCAAAAAAAATACACATACTGCAAAGTGTACAATTCATAAGTTTAGAGGTTGAATTTTCAGAAACCTTACACATGTTATTGGTACCCAGATCACAGCCCCAGTAATCCTGAAGGTCCCCCTTGTTCCTCCTAGTCTACCCATCGTCTTCCCCGGGTTAAGTATTATCCCATTTTCCAATGCAATGGGTTAGTTTTGCCTGTTTTTGTGTAATGTAAACAGTCATGGTATGTGCTCTTTTATGTTTAGCATTCAGCATTGTTTTCAAGATCCATATTGTTGCATGGAGTTGTACAGTTTTCATCTCTTGCATGAATATACCACATTTTATCCATTCTAATGTTGATGGACATTTGGGTAGTTTCTAGTATTTGGCTTTTACAGATAGTATCATTGTGAACATATGTATTCATTTATTTTGAGAATCTAATTAAGGAGTGGAGTTGCTGGGACGAAGGTATGCTTATATTCAGCTTTCCTACATAATTTCCTATATGATTGTGTTGTTTTACACTCCTGCCAGCAGCATATGAGAGTTTCAGTTCCATGTCCTCGCTAACACTTATTTTTTGTCATTTCATTTAGACATTCTGATGGGTATGTAGTGATACAGTGCTGTGATTTTAATTTGGATTTCCTTAAGTCAGTTAAGGATATTTAAGTTGAGCATCTTTTCATATGCTTATTGACCACTTGGATATTCTCTTTTGTGAAGTGCCTGTTTGGATCTTTTGCTATTTTTTTTTCTTTTGAGTTGAATGTCTTATCCATTAGGTTTAAAAAAATTTTTTTTTGGATTTGAGCCATTGGTCAAATATATACATTACAAATAGCTTCTCACATTCTGTGGCTTGCCTTTTCACTTTTGTGTGTTTTTTTTACAAATGGATGATGCTAATTTTAACAGTACCGTTTATCAGTTTTTTCCTTTATGATAAGCACTTTTGGGGTTCTGTTTATAATCTTTGCCTTCTCTAACATCACCAGAATGTTCTATATTTCTTTTAAAAGCTTAATTGTTTAACTTTGCGTTTAGTGAGAGGGTAGGATTCAAGATGGGTATGAATGTCTAATTGACTCATCACTCTTTCTTGAGAATATGTTTTCTCCATGCACTTCATTTTGTCATATAGATCAGGTGACTGTATGTAAGCATCTGTTTCTGATCTGTTTATCCAGATCTGTTGGTCAGGTCATCTATCTTTGGATAGACTTTTTTTTTTTTTTTAACTATATATAGTCTTTTAGTAGGTACTGCTGTCTGGTAGTGTAAGTTACCTAGTTTTGTTCTTCCTTGTAATCTTTTTTTAAGAGTGATGAGTCCTCTTAGCTGTCATTGGCCAGCACTGGGTCATATGACTACCCCCAAACCAGTCAGTAGAAAGGAGAGTGAGATTGCCATGATTGGCTTAAACTAATTAGAATTATCATCCTCATTTTACATATGGGAAAGTGGGCCTGGGAGGTTAATAACTTCCTAAACAGTCCCGAGGAGAGTTAGGGATTGTATTGAACTTAACTCCCATCTGTGTCTCAACTTTTATGCTCTGTCCACTGCAGTTTAGCTCATGTGTGCAAGATCTGGGAGTTATCTTTTTGGAGATCAGAAGTCTTGCTGACATGCAAAAATAGTGCAGAAAAACTATGTAGATAATAACAAGATGTAGATAAGATATGTGGAGGAAATACTCCAGAAATATGAAAAGTAGTTATTCCTGGGTAGTTGTGATTGTGACTCTGGGTGACTTTTTCCTTTTGTTTTACTTTTCTGTATTTTCCAAATTTCCTATAATGGACATATATGGATTTTTAAAAATTAAAAAGTTATTTTTAACTAGGTTATATCTGGAAAATTCAAGAAGTACAAATAGATACACAATTTATAATGCCTTTATGAAAAAAATAAAAATGAATATTTCTTGTTTTTCTTTTTAGAAATGCACTTGGTGATGGAAAGAGAGCCATTATCCTGAAGAGCAATTGGACAAAGGTAAGTTGCTTTTATCTTTACATTGGGCAGGTAACGCCATATAACTTTGTGAAAAATCTGTGTACAGGATGTAAATTTATATGTAAAAATGCTGGATAAAATTATGCCAAGCTCAAGAATGTGAGAGGGGAATCTTCAGTTCCATAATGAGAAAGGAGACTTAACACAGCAGTGAGAGGCCATGCGTCTCTGAGCAGGACAAGTAGCACGTAGAATTGTTGAGGAGCTGGAGGGTACCTTAGTGACTAAGATGTCAGCATCTGCATATTTTGGATGGGTTAAAGACCTTACTATGAAAAATGAAACTTAAAACTTGGGAGAAAAATTATAGGAGACTGTCTTTACAACCTTGAGGTGGGAAAGGATTTATTAAATAACATACATTGCACAAATCAGTGGTGGGGGGGGTGCATAAATTTGACTATATCCAACTGAAAAATTTCTGTATGTCAAAAGACGCCATGAATGAAATCATAATCTGGGAGGAGATAATTTGTCATATAGATAACATATATAACTGATAGGATTTATATCCAGAATATGCAAAGAGTTATAATAAACCCAGTAGAAAATGGGCAAGTGAATAAACAAGCATTTCACAGAAGAGAAATCCTGAATGGGCAATAGAAATAAACTATGTTCTATTTCCTAACACTTAAAATTATATAGTTAGAAAAACAAAACCAAGAGAGCAGAATAGAGAGCTTCCAAACAGACCTGCATGAACCTAAGTAAGTAAAGCAGTGTGATATCATTTAGGTCCTTTAGATTGGCAAAAATTAAAGAGACCAGTAGTCCCAGGTATTGGTGGATGCGTGTACTAACAGGAACCTTCCATAAACCAGTGGGTGAGAATTGGTTGCAACCAACCTGGAGAGCGCTATGATGTGCATATGCTATAATTATTTGATTCTAAGTGTGTGATTCTAAGAATGCAGACATTCTTGCAATATGTACCCATGTTGCGATATGCAAAGTGGCCATTGCAATGCTGTTTTAACGGCATAGAACTGCAGATAACCTACATATCCACTGATAAAGCAGGGATGGATATGGTATTTTCACTTGATCAGAGTTGTGCCTCTGATCTGATCTTTTCCTCTTCCTTAAAAACCCAGTATGTCTCTGACCTCACTCCTACCGTTCTCTCCCTTGTTCACTCTTTGTTGACCTGTTGGCCTCCTCAGCTGTTCCTTATATATGCCAGGCCCACTCCCAGTTTGTACTTGTTCTTCCCTCTGCCTAGAATTAGAATGCCTTTTCCCAGAGCCTGAGCTAGCTCCCTTAGTTCCTTTCATGTTTTACTGAAAGTCTTCTCAGTGAAAATTTCTTGGCCACATTACTAAAATGCCAAGGCTATCCCTGTCTAGACATTTGCTACCCTCTTTCCCTGCTCACTTTTTTCCTCTTGGCATTTAACATTATTGAACATACTGTATGTATTATTACTGTGTGTCCTCCCATACAATGTGAGATCCATGAGGACGGATCTTTTTGGTTGGTTCACTATTGAATCTGGACTGCCTGACAAGCTGCTTGGCACATAGCAAGCACTTACTAGTGAATATTTGTTGACTTAGTAAATGCATGAACCGAATACTAGATTGTAGTTGGAATAAGTTAACTGGTTTATCAGCATTTATAGATTTAAAAAAATAGTGTTGAATGAAAAAAAGCAGTAAAAGCGTATTATAGGCCAGAAAGATACCTATCAAACTCATGATAATGTTTGTTTCTGGGCAGATAGAGAAGGAAAGATTAGAGAGGGTACAAAGACTATTTCAGCCATATCTGTATGGTTTTATTTCTTCTAGTAAAAAAGAATCTAAAACAAATACAGCAAAATGTTAGCAATTAATTCTGGGTGTTTGTGATATTAATCACTGTATTTTCCTAAATCACAAAAATACCCGACTTTTTTTTAAAGTAGAGCTTCAGATAAGACACAGAAAGATACATGTTTCAGACTTCATTCCTGGCTTTACATAATTTGTTTTTAAATCAAAGTGAGTATTACTCATAGGACTTTAGAGCCCCTCCCCCAAATTATGATTCATGTGGCTGAGGAGTCTGGGGATTGTGAAATTCCCCAGGTGGACTCCTGCATCCAGATTTTGGAGTCCGTTTTTAAATGCCTCATTTTACAGATGAAGAGATTGAGTCCCAGAAAGGTAAAGTGACTTTTGCAAGTAAAAGACAAAACTGGATTTAGAATCCAGCATTGGATGTGCTTCTGTTTGAGAGTGATCAGTTTGTTGTGCTTGATACAGAATCTTTGTTGATCACTGAACCTAGCATTTGTTGCTTGCTCCATAAATACTCATTCTATGGATGATAGAATTCTTAATACTGAAACCCAGACCCTGAAGTTAGTTTTCTAGAGTTACCTTTGAATTTTCTATTATCAATTTAGAAAAAAAGGAGTACTAAAATATTCTGAATTGCATTGAGGACTTCGTGTAGAATGTTTATTCCTGGCTTGATTTATTGAACAGAAAATTTTCACTTTCTAAAAAACTATTTTTTTAGAGCAGATTTAGGTTCACAGCAAAATTAAGAGGAAGGTAATCTCCCATAAACCCCCACACATGCATAGACTCCCCCATTATCAGTATCCCCCTGCTGAGTGGTATAATTTGAAAATTGATGAACCTACACAGACACGTTATAATCATCCAAGGTCCATAGTTTATCTTAGTGTTCATTCCCTAAGTGTTACGCATTCTGTGGGTTTGGACAAATGTGTAATGACATTTATCCATCATTATGATTTATACAGAGTATTTTCACTGTTCCCCCAAATCTTCTGATCTGCCTATCCAAACCCCTGGCAACCACTGATCTTTTTCCTATCTCCATTAGTTTTACCTTTTCCAGGATGTCAGAGTTTGAATCATACAGTATATAGCCTTCTCAGATAGCCTTCTCTTTCACTTAATAATATGCGTTTAAGTTTCTGCCATGTCTTTTCATGCCTTGATAATGATTTCTTTTTCATGCTGAATAATATTACATTGTCTGGATGCGCCAGTTGATTTATCCATTCACCTACTGAAGGACATTTTTTTTTTTAAGATTTTATTTATTTATTTGAGAGAAAGATAGCGAGAGAGAGCACAAGCAGAGGGGAGAGAGAGAAGCAGGCTTCCCGCGGAGCAGGGAGCCCATTGCGGGGCTCGATCCCAAGATCCCTGGATCATGACCTGAGCTAAAGGCAGATGCTTAACTCAGCCACCCAGGAGCCCCTACTGAAGGACATTTTCGTTGCTTTCAACTTTTGGCCATTTTGAATAAAGCTGATATAAATACCTATGTGCAGGGTTTTGTGTTGACATGTTTTCAGCTCTTTTGGGTAATTACCAAGGAGTAGGATTGCTGGATCATGTGACAAGAATATGTTTAGTTTTTGTTTTTGTTTTTAATTTATTTGAGAGAGACAGAGAGAGAGGAGCTGGGGGGCGGGGCAGAGGGAGAAGGAGAAGCAAACTCCCCACTGAGCAGGGAGCCTGATGTGGGGCTCGATCCTGGGATCCTGGGATCATGACCTGAGCTGAAGGCAGACACCCACCCAGGTGCCCCTAGTTTTGTTTTTTTGTTGTTGTTGTTTTTAAGATTTTATTTATTTGAGAAAGAGAGGCAGGGATAGGATAGAGGTAGCGAGAGAGCATGAGCAGGGGGGAGAGGGAGAAGCAGACGCCCCACTGAGCAGGGAGCTTGGCACGGAGCTCAATCCCAGGACCCTGGAATTATGACCTGAGCTGAAAGCAGATGCTTAACTGACCGAACCACCCAGGCGTCCCAAGAATATGTTTAGTTTTTTAAGGAAATGCCGAACTGTTTTCCAAAGTGGCTATACCATTTTGCATTCCCACCAGCCACAAGCGAGAGTTCCTGCTGTTCCATATCCTCCTTGGCATTTGGTATTGTCTCTTGTGGTCATTGTAGTGTTGTTTTAATGGCATGTGTCCTGAATTTTGGCATTCCTAATAGGTGTATAGTAGTATTTCGTTTTAACTTGCATTTCCCTAATGACATATGATGTGGAGCATCTTTTCATATGCTCATTTGCCACTGTATACCTTCCTTGATGAGGTGTCTGTTAAGACCTTACAGATGTGTCTGCTAAATATTTTCTCCTTGATTGTAGCTTGTCTTCTCATTTTCTTGACAGCCACTTTCAGAGAGCAGAAGTTTTTAATTTTAAAGTCCAGCTTATCAGTTATTTCTTTCATGGATCATGCCTTTGGTATGGTATCTAAAAAGTCATTACCATTTTTTGCATTTTACATTTAGGTCTGTGATTCATTTTTAGTTAATTTTTATGGAGAATATAATATCTAGATGCATTTTTCTTTGCATGTAGATGCTCCAGCATCATTGTTGCAAAGGCTGTCTTTACTTCATTGTATTACCTTTGTTATCTTCGTCAAAGATCTGTTGACTATATTTATGTGGGTTCATTCACTTTAGATAGGGATGTTTTATGATGATTGCAGAAATATTTGTATAGATGCAAAACACAAATCCTAGTAAGTATTTAAAAAATGTGGTAACTACATCTAGGTTATTTTTTCATTTTATTTTACTGGAAAGAAGTGCGCATTAAAAGGTAGCTTAAACTTCAGAAGCAAAGGTGAATTGTGCAAGTTGCATTCTGTACTTCTACTTGAGATTAACTATGAGCCTAAACCTGTTGAGTCATGCCCCTAGGATATAAGCCTGTATAAGAAAGTTCTCTGTAAATTTCTGTGAGGGTGGGCCATTGTTCTCCCTTCTTTCCAGACAGAGAAGACTGGTACATTGCCAACTGCCCTACACGTGCTTTCAGGCTTAAGAGAGGGTGTGTCTTTGTATCCCAAAGGGTGGGAATTTTTATGGTATTATCAGTAGACATTTGTTGACATTTCTCTGTGCATTGCCTTTTGATATTGTTATGTAGCATACAAACCAGTAGCCTCACAGATGTCCATAAGAACCTTTTAATATTGAGGGATGTATTAGGACTCTTTTGTTTGTGAGTGATACTGATGTTTTTGTGTATCTAAATATTTTTGAGCTTCTTTTTGGGATGCAGTAAAGTTACTTGGAAACAGTGTAATTCTTTGGAGTCTTGTTTTAAGCTTTGATAGGTGGGACCATAGTGGTATTAGGTCAACGGCTACCTTTTTATTCACATCTGAAGCAAAATGCTTCTGAATACTCTGCCTGTTACTCCATGAATTATGTTTTCCACTCTGGCTGGTGGAAACAGGAATTATTCCTGGCCCTGTGTGAGTGCTGACTGTTGTTTCCTTATTAGTCTTTCTAGTGATTCTTTCCCTGGTTTGGGTTTGGGGTAGTTGTCCCACATGCATGTACTGATTAGTACTCACCTCAAGACTCAACTTGGGACTGTGTGAGGATCTCTGGAGGTCTCTGTTGAGCAGTCTCCTCTCTGGTCCTCTGCCCTGTGAACTTGAGCTGCCTTGGCTCTCCTGGTCTCTTGTCTCTGTCTCCAGAACTGAGACTGCAATCCCTGCCTGTGTTCCTTCTCCCTGTGCCATGGCTTAGAATTCTTCAGTAAGCTGAAAATTCCATTCAGGGCTTATGTTGTGTTTCTCCAGGGTCACTCTCTTTCGTTGCCTGGTAGTCACTCAATGTCTTGCAAACCTTTGTTTCATATATTTTGTCCTTGTTTGTTTGTTTTAGGCAAGAGTGTAAATCCAAATCCCTGTTAACTCCATCTTGACCACAAGTGGTAGTTAGAGTGTGGGCTCTCTTGGCTTCATTTTGAAAAAGACTTTTACCATGTAGTGGGAACCCCAAACTGTTATCCTTAATAACTGTTAATTCTAGTGGCAAGAGAATCTCTTTTAGTATCTATACGGTACACCTAAGGATACCTCAGACTGATCCTGATTGAGCCATGTGTTCACCAGTGGATTGATCCTATGACCTGGAAAATGGTGCATTTTGATTGGTCAGTCTCCTGGGTCATATGCTTCTCCCCAGTCATTTTTGAGAGGGAGTACTAGTCCCAGTCTTGCCATTGCTATGTGGAGTAGGCACGTGGTGGCACCAAAAGGAGGGGATGCTAGGCAGACGAACAACAGGGAATTTCTATATATGTGATAGAGAATGAGGTAATGTCAAAGAAAAGCAAATCTTTGTATTGTAATTGGGTTCAGAAAATTCTCTGAGATACCTTTTAATTTAAGCTTCATTCAGATAACCTCAGCAATCAGACCTGAATAAATTCATTTTTCAACCGATAGACTTCATGCTAGGTTTTATAGAATTTAGGGAAAAGGACCCAGCAAAAGATGAGGAAGGTGGGAGGTTGCGGGGGGGATGGGGAAGAGAAAGAAATTTAGCAGGTATGGTTTATAATCTATCATATATCTTATGCTGTGTTTTTTTTTTTTTGTTTGTTTTTTATGTAGTTACCTTAGTTTTGAAGTTGGAATAGTCCTGGGTGATAGGATGTTGGTCTTGTAGCATATCTGAGAGATCTGTCTTCATATGCCTTTTGAGGAAAAGCAAAGTTTAAGCAAATGCAATCTGCATTGGGATCTTTGATCTGAATCTAAATAGTCTGGCTAAAAAAAAATGCTTCAGAACTCACAGATTGGGTTGGTGCACGAGAGCAGGATTTATATGTGTATCAAAGCTGCATAAACAAAGGTCCCCATCGTTGTTTCTGGCCTTTTTTTTAGTGAAAAGCTCATCTTTCTTAAAAGGGTCACTCATTTCTGATTTAGTAGTTTCTCATAGAATGAGAATGTTCTTTGTAAAATCTGTAGTAAGGAGGAAAAAGCTCTGGACCTGGAGTCATAACGTCAGGATTCTTTGGTTTGCCTCTAAATAAGTGTGACATTAGGCCAATTTCTAGCCTCTCTCACAGGTAAGTCAATTCTCAAGTGGAGATACTGTGCCTACAATGGGAGATCAGTTTGTGAGTAGCTAGAAGAGGGGGTGTTGAGTTAACCCCAGGTTTGGTAATACTAGCTTTCTAGATTAAAACGTTCATCCTTGAAATAGAAGATTTCCCAAAATGCATAAATGGGGCCAGCCAGGACTGTGGTTCTGTAGCAAACAAAATAAAAAGCCCTGATCATTGGAATTGAGTAAATCAGTGGTTTTCAGACCTTTTCTTAAAGCCAAGAACTACACTTAGAAATAAAATAATTAAAAGCTGATTAAGAGCAAGCCAAATGGAAGATCTAGCCTAGATGCACCCCCTATCTGTGACCATGCTTTTCAGAGGGGTTGGAAAATGACTGTATAAGCTGATTGTTCCTTCCAGTTCTAAAATTTGTTTGATTTCCAAAGTGTAGGGAATGTAATGACTTAGAGACTATTGCTGCCTTAAAATATTTTGAAAAAAATCAAGTTACTTATTTATAATGAATGGTTTGTGTTACTTTATTTGGCACAAAATAATTATTTCATTCTTTACTTGTAAAATATAATAAAGGTTGAATTATTTTCTTTGGGGTACAAAAATCTCTTAAGCAAAAATACTGATCTCTAATTAAAATTACTATAAATACTATTCATAACTTCACTTTAGCTCATTTAGGTAATTTTATTTCCTGAGAGGTATTAACATTTTAAAAAATTTTTCATTGATAGGATCCTAATCTAACATTTTAAGTAATCAGTTTTCAAGCAAAATATTTTTCCTTATCTATTTTCTTTAACTTAAGCATATTTTTGAGAAAAAAATTAAATTTATCTTTTGGAACAGGGTCATTATCGTTATTGTGCTGCTCTTTCTATGCTGGGGGAATATGACTGGGCCCTACAAGCAAACATAAAAGCTCAAAAACTCTGTAAAAATGACCCTGAGGGAATCAAGGATCTAATTCAGCAGCATGTAAAGTTACAAAAACAAATAGAAGACCTGCAAGGTATTTCACCTAAGATTCTTTGGTTACAGTTGAATTCCCTTTAAAACTTTTGAAGGTGGGTTTCTTGGATTAATGGAGGACCATAAATCAACTCTCAGGTGATTTGTGCTTATTTTGTTACGTTATCTTGGTCAAGTCACTGAAGTTTTCCGTTTCTGTCTATGTAGAAGTACGTTAGTGTTATATTCCACTAGGTAATTATAAATGATTTGTATTTTTTATTTGAAACAACAAATTATTATTTATTCTTCTGTAGTGAAATATGCCACCTTGAGATTTTGGGTAAAGTGATGACTTTGGAAACAAAATTGTTTAAAATTTTTTCCTCCGTTATGGTTATTTCTTAAAGAAAAGACCCTTCAGTAGAGTTGTTTAATGTTTTTGCACCAAGTGTGTGGCTCATTCTATAGCATGTGGAACATTTTTGCATATGTACCTCTGTATGTGGGTACATATACATATGTCAGAAATCAGCTGTGTGGGCTAGGAATTCTAGATTTTCATTCTCTTGTTTTCTCTCCTAAGTATTTTGCTTTCTCCAATGCCTGAAATTCCCTTACTCTATACTTTCAGCATATAGGTCTTTCCTGTTTTTTGGGGGGGGGTATTTAGTGTCTCAGGAAGCTGAGATGTTATTATCCAACATAACATGATTATAAGATTGTGAGCTCCTTGAAGACAGGTACCATCTCTGATTCAGATTTATATACTGCTGTATCTAGTCAATGATCACATGTAATGGGATGTCAAATGAGGCTGTGTAACATTTTGCTGAAGCCATCCTAAAACTCAAAACATCTGAAAATATAAAATTATTTAGGTTTATTTTTCAGTTCTGTAAATTTGATGTTCTTACTGTCAGCTTAAAGGGTATTTGAAAATCTCTTCAAAGTATGTGTTGCCAATCCACTGATTACCTTGCATGTGTGATTGATTTTTATAGGTCGAACACCAACTAGAAATCCAATTAAAGCCTTCTATGAAAGCAGGTGAGTTAATGCCAGTCAGATCAGTAGCTCTTATGTGGGATGGCTTTTCCCCGTAAGTTTAAGAATCACTGTATCTGATGCTTTGTGGCTAATAGCAACCACAGTAAAGTTGGGGAGGGTCTAAGATCAGGTGACCTGTGAATTGTCAGATTTGTTTTGTGGACTGTTTTACTGAACCATTTGTATGTGTATTTAATGGGAGATCAGTAGCCTAAGCCTATGGGAAAAGGTGGGTGAAATGTTAAGTGGATGTCACTGTGCTTGGGTGCAGTTTTTGCAATGAGGGTCCTGGCAGCAGAGAGCAGGGACACAGTCTGTACCTTTAACCTTTAGCCTCTGTCTTGGAAGCATCTGCCACCAGCCTCCCAATATCTTTTCAAAGACTAGGACACTTTCTGTTAGAAATAGACAACAGACAGATTCGATATGCTCACAAGAAAACAAATAGCAGCCAGGGTTCTACCTTTATTGCTTGGCAATTAAAATAGATTTTTCCCCCCACATGCTTTAGATGCCTAAGATATTGAAGCTGTTAAATTTAAATCAGGGAGAATTACTTATTTTAATATTACAAACCAGAATACATTGAACTGTTTTTAATCTCTTTTGAGTTCTTACTATGAAATTTAAAGCAATATTTGTGTATAAAGCCCAATCTCAGAGGAAGATCCTTTTTAAAACAGTATTACCCTGCTTTCAAGGAAAAAAGGTGGTATTTGCTGGAACCTATTTATTTGAAGGATAACTTTTTAAAAATGCATGCTAATCAACAGAAATAAAATTATTATTTCTCTTATTCCCCTTCAGGGCCTATATACCCAGTTTATCAGCACCTGCGTTTAGTACTTCACTTAATTTTGTGGAAACCGAAAAAGATTCCAGAAGAACTAACCACGAAATGGCAAACGGTGGTAATCAGAATCTAAAGGTAGGTTCAGTTAAAAACTAAAATTAAATGATTTCAAGTATAGATAGTCTCATGTTTTTACAGTAGTATTCCGGTGATAATAGAAATTAAATATTTTGGTGATATGAATCCCTTTTTGCCTCTGATATGAAAAGAATGATTCTTTCTTTTTAATAAATATTTCAACTACCTCCTTCAACTACATGAAGAGAATATTTCTTTTTTTTTAAAGATTTTATTTATTTATTTGAGACAGAGAATGAGAGATAGCACGAGAGCGAAGAGGGTCAGAGGGAGAAGCAGACTCCCTGCTGAGCAGGGAGCCCGATGTGGGACTCGATCCCGGGACTCCAGGATCATGACCTGAGCCGAAGGCAGTCGCTTAACCAACTGAGCCACCCAGGCGCCCTGAAAAGAATATTTCAATATCACATAGTTTCGTTTGAAATCACATTGGTGTGTTTTCAAAATACTTTTTTTCTAAATTTCATTTTACTACTTGGATAGTTCTCTTTGTATGCTTTTCCTGCTTTACATGTCTCTCAGACAGCCACTTGGGAATGAGTGACAGCGGGGTCTGGGGACCACGTCATCCCACTCCTTACAGTGTTTCGGATTTTTCTTTTCCTCCCTTTTGCAATCAGCTTGGCTGCCTGGCACCGCACAAGGCTGTCCACCTGACTTGTGTGGGGGGAGGCACGCCCTCCCCATTTCTGCCCAAGCCATTTCTGCAGCAGTGGTGCCCAGCCTTGACTCCCTGCTGTGCTCACCAGCACCCAGGCCTCATGGTTTCTGAGGGCACCTCTAGGCCTTTTAGCCTGGCTCTGTGATTGGTACCCCAAATGACCTGAATCTGACTTTTCTCTGAACAGTAGTATACTAAATACTTGGCAGTTATCACCAAGTCCACATTAATATTTCTTTCCAGAATTTGTGAGGAAAAAAGGAAATGGTATTTTGGAGTATGTGGCTAGTAGGCATTTATGGGAGCTTTTCCAACTCACTGTGTAGTCCTTTTATTGTTAATGAAAACCTCAGAGGCTGTATTCAGTTAGGGAGAGGAGCATAAGGAAAGATGCAATAATATTTATTCAGTACACTTATTGAACAATAGACCTGTCAGGCATCATGCCAAGTGTTGGAAGTAGAATTACCATTAGAGAATTTGTCTTATTAGAATCTCTTATCACTAGTTATCATTTTGTGTGTTTATTCATTTAGGCCTAATTACCAGCTGGTTATTTTAGGCACTTGGGTAAATTCTGTTTTATTCTTTTTTATTATTTAGTTAATTGAATTCTTTATGGCTTTATTTTTTTGAAAATCTCATGAATTTTGTTTTCATGGGTAGGTGGTAGATGAAGCTTTGAAGGTAGATGATTGTGACTGTCATCCTGAATTTCTACCACCATCAGGTAAGTTTTTTCCTTATGTAAGTTGTTGCTGAATTAATATAGCATTCCTTTTTTTTTTAATTTTTAATATAGCATTCCTAAAACTCCAGCCCCAACATTTGCATGAGCCTTGCATACATTTGCTGTTACTCTCCTTTTACTTTATAATGCTTCTGTGTTAAGAAAACATTGAATACTTACTTGAAATCAGTGCTCAGTCTTTTCATATTAAATAAATTTAATTTTGGAAATTCAAGTAAATGGAATAGAAAGGGAGGATGAAACTCTTTTTGGTCTGCTACCTAATTTCCGTGAGGCCAGTGTTGTTCAACTTTAATTTCATTAAAGCCCCCTGACCCAGGAGGCTTTTTAGATGTATTTTTTTCCTTTTTGTCCTCCTACTACAGATACTGTTTAACTGTTTATGTCCTGTATGTACATCTGTGCTTTATATATTTAAAAAGTTAGGTTTTTTTTGTTGTTTCTGCTTTTTTTTTTAACTTTCACCCTGGTTGGGGGTGATGTTGAGAATGGATGCTTTAGGCTGATACTAGTTTAACTGGTACATGCTTAGTGCATATGTCTATTTCTGCGTCTAGTAGATACACGGACACACAACGGGACCTTATTTACTTGGCATCATTTGGAAATGAAGGGTCCAGAGAAGCGAATATTCATGTTCCATTTATTTCTCAGTCTCCCTTTACATGACCAGATTTTGTTGAAAATCATTCTAAAGTAGATTATATGCTTCCTGGACTTTTGAAACAGAGTTTTGAAAAATACAGATTTTCTTGATGACTCGAGGTTGCTGTCGGGTACAGATTTTTTGTTTGAAGCTTTCAGAGGTTATTGGGGTGAGATTGCTGACCTGATTCGTGATCTTGTTAGTGATCTCTTTTCCTTTTCCTTGTTTGTTGGCTTGTTTTCTTTTCAGTGTTTCTGCTTCTGTCAGCCATTTCTGTCTTTTGCTTCCCGCAGCTCTGTCTTTTCTTAGGCTTCAGTGCCACAAATCCAGCTATTTACCACTGGCCATTCCTATTTGGTTAGCATATTGGAAAATTATGAAGAGGGAGACTCAGGTGATTGTCTTACCTGATGTAATAAGTCTAATAGCACATGAAAAATCTCTGAAGATAAAACTTTTCTTTTGGAAAACACCTTTTAATTTATTAATATTTCTTAGGCTGTTATTATCAGATAGCACATTTAAGTAAATACTCTAGATACCATCCACACTTTAGCATCTGTATTCAGTCAAAGAAATTGAGGTCCCAGGGTTAGGGCTCTGTAGTTTTGCCTGAAATCAGACAGCAGGAATCAAATTAGAACTCTTTGGCCTTTCTGAAGCCTCTTTTGTTTTCTGAGGCCATCCAAACCAGCTTGACTCTGATCCCCGCCTTAATACATAGGTTCTGACATGCCTCTGCTGTCTCTTCCCAAAGCTTCCATCAAAAAGACCCTGTCCCTGTTGCTGTGCTTTTTTCTACATAACTTTGTGCATGGCCCTTCCCACTCCAAAGTGTGCAGTAGTCCTTGCTCTTGCCAGTGGGACAAAGGCTGGGCTCTCAGAGCTGGAGTGTTGGAAGCAAAGGACCCGTGAGCACTCACTCCGGCTGGCCTTCACTGCCCCTTTCTAACCTTCTCTTCTTACCCAACTCACCAGATCACACAGGTTTACTTAGTGTTTCTTAAAGTGAATGTTATTCTTGGGTTTGGCCCATCCTATCCACATCCTACTTGTTTGTCTGTTTGTTTCTTTCTCTCTTAAGATTTTTATTTATTTGAGAGAGAGCGAGTATGAGTGGGGGAAGGGGCAGAGAGAAAGGGACAAGCAGACTCCTCGCTGAGCGCGAAGCCCACTGTGGGGCTCCATCCCAGAACCCTGAAATCATGACCTGAGCCAAAGTCTGATGCTTAACCAACTGAGCCTCCCAGGTGCCCCAAATCCTACTTTTTTCTTAAAACTAAATACAAATGCTCCACCTCCACTAAGGCTTTTCCTGGCCACTCGACCTTAAGTGATTTCCACCTCTGGGTTATAAGAGCAATTAATACGGAATTTATATGTCAGTAGCAACATGCTGTCTTCTCTTCTTAAAGATGGTTGTTGTGTAATTACTGGTGACTGTCTTTTCTTCCCATCTGATTATAAACAACCTAAGAATGGGAACTATGGCCTATATCTCTCTGTATCTACTTTAGGCCTAAATAATATCATTGTAATTAGTGTTCACAATACTTTCATAGGATACATAGACATCATGGTAGCTGGTTTTTCATCTGTTTGTACTTACACTCATAAAATATTGCTTCCTTTGCTGCTTATTCCAATTTACATATTTTTAATTGATTTGCTTTCAGGCTTGTTGATTTTTATGAACAGATTTCAGGAACAAATACTTTGTATTCACAGGTCAGCCTCCAAAATATAAAGGAAAACAAAAATCTCGAAACAATGAATTGGAGAAGTTCAGGTATGTTTTTTATCTGTGTGGTTTTCCCCCCCTTATAGCCTCCTCTTAGGAAAAAAAGTAAAAGGGGGGAAAAGTGTCAAGTAGTAGCTTATGATGAGTACTGAAATCCCTTTCAAATATCAAAGGCATATCTTTAGGAGAATGTCATTTTTGGCTAAAGGATTATTAATCCTGGATGTTAATAGATGTCTGGAAAGCTTGGAATATGAGATGTATCAGTGTTAATTCTTAAAAATCCCAAAATACATGCTCATACAAAGAAAAAATATTCAGAGAAGTATAAAGTGAGAATTACGTCTTCTCCCTGCTCACCTTATTTCACCTTTCCCACAATTGCTTCTTTGGTGGCTTCCTTTAGGAACTCTGTGTTAACAAGTTCTTGTCCACCTGGAAGCAGGCATGAGTATGTGTGTATTTAGGGGCCCTTCTGAGTAGTTCTCATTAAAGGAAAGTATTCATTAATGAAGCGACCCCTTGTAAAGTTAATTCTGTCAAACACCCCCCACACCAAAATTAACAGTAGGACCTCATGCAACCTGTCTTTATAATTAACCTCTCCATTGCCTACAGAGATATATACTGATTGCAAAGTGAAATTGTAAATCTTACAATGAATATAGAAGTTCATGAGGTCAAGGAAAGTGATGCCGGAGACCCTGCAAAACCATTTCTGTCACAGTTAGACCAGCTGTCAGCTCTCTTTTCTTCACGTAAGGCTGATTCCTGGATAGGTGCTTCAAGGAGAAGAATTTTAATATCAAAGCACTACAAGATATTAGTAAAGCCCCATCTTAAAAAAATGACTATTTTTTGATGCTGCTACAAAAAATTAAATTTAAAGCAAGGGCTTAGATACTGTGTTGTTCTATTATTCAGTAGAAAAATCCTGAATCTTCCCCTCCCCCTGTTAACCCTCAAAAGAAACCAAAAACATGCAGGGTCATTCTTTGAATGCATAGTTATAATTTTAAACTGTTCTGCTAAAGAAAAATTTATGTTCTGATGTTTTGTTTTTGTTTTTAAATTGAGGTCTTCTTACTTGATTATGTCTACTTCATGAGGTTATTTAATGATTAAGTGGGGTAACTACATGAAACACTTAGAGCCCTGGAACGTGGTAAATGCTCAGTACGCTTGAACTATCATTGTTGTTAGGACCATTCTGGCCTATAGCTTGCTTTTATTTTTATCTTTTATCTATCTGTATCTGCATATTTTCACATATCACATCATGGAGATCGACATCCTTCATTTTCATGGCTACAGGATAGTTCATAGTATAGATGTATATTTGAAGAAGAAATTTCTAGAATGGAATTGCTCTGTCAAAGAGGATGTGTACTTTGCTAGATACTGTCACATTGTCCTCCCAGAAAATGAGCATTGTTCACACTCTTCCTGAGCTGGTGGAGAGTGTGGTATAATAAAATATATATATATATATATGTGTGTGTGTATATATATATATATATTTGGTCTTTGTCCTCAGTCTTGGCATAGAGCACTTAAAACCCTTGGAACTTTCAGAGTGATAAGAGTATCTTTTGTTCTTCATAATGAGCTTCTTTCTGCCTTAACTATACTAATGAGATGACTCAAGGCTGGTCCCCCACCTTCAGGATTGGGGTGGTTGGCCACCAGAAAGACCAAACATGTGATTGGAGAGTTGGAACTCTCAGCCCCACCCCCTGATCTCCCAAGAAGGGGAAGGGGGCTGGAAATTGAGTTCACTCACCAATGACTAGTAATGATTATTCATGCTTATGTAATGAAACCTTGATAGAAGAAACCTCTAAACTGCTGGGGCAGGGGAGCTTCTGGATTGCTGAATACGTGGAGATGTTGGGAAGGTGGTGCGATCTGGGGTGGCATGAAAGCTTTGCAGCATTCCCCTCCTCTGTACCTTCCTGTGCATCTCTTCCATTGGGCTCTTGTGAATTATATCCTTTATAGTCTAGTAAAGATAAGTAGAGCACTTTCCTGAGTTCGGTGAGTCATTCTAGGGAGTTGTTGAACCTGAGGGTGGGTCACAGGAACCTCTGAGTTTGTAGTCCATCAGGCAGTAGTGTGGGAGGACTAAGCACCTCATTGTGGCTGACAGTAGCGGTAAGGGCATTATTTCTGAAGTGGGGTCAGTCTTGTGGGACTGAGCCTTTAACCTGTGGGGCCTATGTTAACTCCAGAGTTGGTGTCAAAATGGAATTGAGTTGTTGGACACTGGGTGTTGGAGAATTGATGTGGAAAATGGCAATTATTTGGTGTCAGAAAATACCACCTAGGGTACCTGAATCTTCCTTACCCTCAGCAGCATTGGGAGTCAGACTTTCTGAAACAGTTATATCTTATTATTAGATTTTCATATGAGATGGAGCGTCTTTGCAATGTTTATTGGGCACATTTCTTGTTTCATGGCTATGTTGTTATGACTACATTTATAATAACTTTTGATGATCAGTGCAAATCCCCCCCAATTTCTTTTTTTTTCTTCAAGTTGTTCTTCCATACCATCTTTATAATCAATTCATCTGGTCCCCCTCCATCTCTAATTTTATAGGGATTTTATTGAGATTTCATTGTATTTAGAGATTAATTTGGAGAGAATCAGCTTCTGGGTAATATTTCAGTGTAGGAACTTGTGACTCCATTTATTCAATGTTTAAAATGACCTTTACATGGAGATGAAAAGTACAGCATAGGGAATATAGTCAGTAATATTGTAATAATGTTGACTGGTGACAGGTGGTGACTACACTTACTATGATGAGCTTTGTGTAATGTATAGTGTTGTGGAATAACTGTGCGGTATGCCTAAAACTAATGTTTGTATGTCAACTGTACTTCAGTTTTTAAAAAATGGCCTTCAGTAAATATATTCTTTATATAAGCAAGACTATTTTATTTTAAAATAACTCAACACTTTTCTCTATTAGTTCTAGTTCACAAGGGAGTTTACCAGTAGATTTGAAGAACATCTTGGAAAAACAGTTTTCTAAATCTTCCAGAGCTGCACACCAGGTAAAGGAAGAGGCTTATTTCTAATGAAAAAAAGCAAAGTCTTTGAACAAAACATTTTTCATATAAGTCTAATCATGTACATCTCTAAGATTTATTTTTTATAATTTAAATTATGGACATACGATTTTATATATGACTGCTAAGAAACCAAAATATCACTAATTTAGGTATTAACTTGATAATCACTTTAAACAGAAATTTAACGCTTGATACTGCAGAATTGTTTGCTTCCCAAAGATTTAAAGATTTGGGATTCTTTGCTTTCCAGAGTTTTAACTTTTAAGATAAATACTTTAAGGGGCACTTGGCTGGCTCACTTGGTAGAACTTGCGACTCTTGATCTCTGGGATATGAGTTCGAGACTCATGTTGGGTGTACAGGTTACTTAAAAATTTTAAAAAAAAGATAAGTATTGTAAGAAGATTTAAATTATTTTAAAAGGTTCAAGCACTTGCAGTTTTATTACACCTACCTTAAAGCTGTTAAAGAGCAAACTTTCTATTCTTTAAATGATTTAACAGTAATCAGATAACTTTGTATATAAAATTCTTTCTACAGTATTTAGGACGTTAATTAGAAAGTATACATTAAGGGGGAAAAGATGAATAGCCACAGCAAAGAGGATTTTTAGGGCAGTGAAAATTCTTTGTATAATATTATAATGGTAGATATATGTTCTTATACATTTATCCAGACCCGTAGAATGTATGGCACCAAGAGTATATCCTGTGTTAAACTATAGACTTTGGGTGATTAGGATGTATCCATGTCATTCATCTTTGGTAAGAAATATACTATTCTGGGTTCAAGAAGATGTACGTACACACACACACACACACACACACACACACACACACACATATGCAATAGAGTATTACTCAGCTATAAAAAAGAATAAAATATTGCCATTCTTGACAACATGGCTGGACCTAGGGAGTATTTCGCTAAGTGAAATAAGTTACAGAAAGACAAATACCATGTGATTTCACTTATATTTGGAATCTGAAAAACAAAACAAATGAACAAACACAAAAACAAAGTCTCATAAATACAGAGAACACACTGGTGGTTGCCAGTGTGGAGGGAGAGGGAGAGGATGAAGGGGAAATGGGTGAAATACATGAAGGGGATTAAGGAGTTCAAACTTTGGGGCACGTGGGTGGCTCAGTTGTTAAGCATCTCCTTCAGCTCAGGTCATGACACCGGGGTCCTGGGATCGAGCCCCATGTTGGTCTCCCTGCTTAGCAGGAAGCCTGCTTCTTCCTCTCCAGCTCCCCCTGTTTGTGTTCCCTCTCTGGCTGTCTCTCTCTCTCTATCAAATAAATAAAATCTTTAAAAAAAATAAAAATAAAAAATAAAAAGTTCAAACTTCCAGTTATGAAATAAGTAACCATGGAGTGAAAAATGCAGCATAGAGAATATAGTCAATAATATTGTAATAACTCTGGCTGATGACAGATGGTAACTACACTTATTGTGGTGAGCACTGCATAATGTTTAGCATTGTCGAATCACTATGTTGTATACCTGAAATTAGTAAAGCATTGTATGTTAACTATACTTCAATAAAAAAAATATAGAGATGTAAAATACACCATTCTGATGAGTGATATTGATAGTGGAGTATACATGGGAGGAGGCAAAGGGTATATGGAAATTTCTGTACCTCCTTCTCAATTTTGTTATAAACCTAAAAAGAAAAAGTCTTCTAAAAAATGCAAGGGATACAGCTAAAGGATTACTTTGAAGGAAATTTATCAAGCTAAATGTATGTATTAAAAGAACAAAAACTTTTAAATTAATGAAGTATTTATCCCAGGAGCTAGAAAAAAAAGAAAAACAGCAAATAAACCCAAAGAAAGTAGAAGGAAGGAATTAATAGAGATCAAAGTAGAAAATAATGAATTGGAAACAAACATATAAGGAAGAATCTACAGAGCTAACAGTTGATTCTTTGCCAGTATAAATAAAATTTACACACTGGTGTTGCAACTGATTAAGAAAGAAAGAAAAGAAAACATTATAAAACAATTTCAAGAATGAACAAGGATGCATTACTATAGATCCTTGAATATTACAAATACATCAAAATACTATTATGAACGACATCATACCAAGAAGTTTGAAAATATATATAGATGAAATGGACAAATTCCTAGAAAAATCCAACTTACAAAAACTGATTCAAGAAGAAATAGAAACCTCACTGAAATCCAGAATTTACAGAACCATGGCTGGTCACTCTTCTAGTCATTGAACACTTGTAGACTATGTAGTAGTAAGTAAAAGATTGTCTTTTTTGGGTAAACATGATTCATAGGAGTCTGCTTTGACAATTAATCCTTTAAACACAGTTTTATTTCTTCTAAAATAGAATATTGGATTTAAATTTCATTCCTAAAAATGTATATTAGCATATGGAATATAATACTTGTTTTAATTTGGAGGTCATTTTAAAATTTGGTTAACTATTTTAGGTATATATGACAAATATCTTACAGAGGACTGGAGGAATGAAGCATGTTTCAAGCAGTTTATGAAAACAGATCTCTAATCAGTTGCATAAAAGCATCTTTAGAATTTCTGACATTTGGAGATTTTAAAATTAGGTCTTTTTACATTGATTTTACTCTTAAAACTGTGAAGGACTTAAATAGAAAAGACAACCTGGGAAGATCAGAGGTGATTTAAATAAGTATGATAGTTATTTTTGAGCCTTCCCTTGTTCATTCAACACACTTTTGGTTAGGCCCCTGTCTGTGCTGAAGTCTGAGAGAGATTGGGTATATGGCACTGCAACCCAGCCTACTTTATATAGTTTTTTGTATTGTACTGAGAAAAATAATTTTTTTTAAGATTTATTTTTATTTATTTTAGAGAGCAAGCATGTGCCCATGAATGGGGGGAGGGGCAGAGGGAGAGGGAGAGCGAGTCCCAAGCAGACTCCATGCTGAATGTGGAGTCCGACATGAGGCTCAGTCTCATGACCCATGAGATCACGACCTGAGCGGAAACCAAGAGTTGGATACCCAACTGACTGAGCCACCCAGGCGTCCCTGAGAGAAATAATTTTTAATGAAAACATGAGGTTTTATGTCTCTCCTTTCTAGAATGTGAAAGATTAAAATGGAATCAGTTCATTGAAGATTAATAACTATTATTTGTGGGGATAGCACATCATCATCTATAACTTTTAAAATTCATATCTTAACATAAATATAAGCTGTCCTTGAGCTTTTTGAATACTATAGTAAATACCAAGTTTATGGGAGAGGTGCTCTTTTCTATGTGTATTCTGGGGGAAAGTTCTCCTAAACTTTGATTCATTGGATGAAAACCAGTAAAGTAGCTTTTGTTAATTGTGACCAAACTGCTCTTCCCTCTGTGCTTTGTGCAACGGGGCCTCCTTTTGGATCTTTACTGTTAGGAACAGTGAGGAATATCACACGCATATTTGCATTTTCTGCTTTCCTGAATGGTGTACACATGTATGGCAAGGAGTGAGGAAATCTAGGTTTAATCTGTAGTCTATCTAGTTTTTATGGAACTTTTGTGACTGATAGCTATTGCCATGTAACTAAAACTTGAATTCAAATTGTAGTGCATGTTCACATATATATCCAAAGATAAAGTTTTTTTCTCACTTTATTCAAGGTATATTATAGCACTTTTGTTTTTGTTTTTTATTTCTTATGCTCTTCCCTTTACATTTAACCTGTAATATCTTTCCTGATAATTTAATTGAGTTCTATTCAAGTACATGTTGGGCAGAAGTAGAGCCAAAGATTGAAATATCCTTTCTTGCTGAGAATTAAGATTTGTTCCAGAGCACAAGGGTAGATGTTAAAATCTGATAGTGATCAGTAAATTGATTGCTTGTTCTTAACTTAATTCTAGTCAGCCATACAGTTATTTAAATGGTGACTGGTGTTCTCTGTGCTGTTTGTGCTATTAAAACTTCTAAATGCTGTCTTTTCAATCTGGAAAAGTGAGCAAGGCATAGAACCATGTAGTGTAAAATGAACTACCCTTTCTTGTCATGAGTAGCAGTAGGAATGTTGGAAATAAGATGGTGAAGCAGGACCTTTCAATTTTCACTGGAAAAGTGCTGTGTAGGGAAGGGAATATGACACATAAAGGGCAGCTTTGGGTATTTATTTACGTATTTTATGATCAGTTATAAAATATAACTGCCCTATGATGAACTTTTCATCTTAAATTTTTGGCTAAACACATGTAGCTCTGGATTACTTAATAGAATTTCTTTTTTTGCAGGATTTTGCTAATATAATGAAAATGCTGAGAAGCTTAATCCAGGATGGTTACACAGCTTTGTTGGAGCAGCGCTGCCGCAGTGCTGCGCAGGCCTTCACAGAGCTGCTCAATGGTTTAGATCCTCAAAAAATAAAGGTAAAATTGCCGTCTTACAGTTTATCAGTGCAGGTGCATTTCAGGTGAATGTAGAAGAGAACCAAGCCTTTAACATCATTGTGTTAATGTACCTTAGGCCTACCTGAGATTAGCTGAATCTGCCCCAGGTTCTGAGAAGCAGGTGACACTCTGATTCAGCCTTTATGGTTGCACTCAGTATGTGACTCTCCTTGCTCCCTACTTGGTGTTCATTAGAACGCTTGGCTTCTTCTACAAAAGTACTAAATCAAGGTTTTGGACTTGGCTTTAGTCACATCTTTTCATCCAGAAAGAATTAGCTAGGTCAATAGTTTATCCAGGATTGTAAGCAAATGTCTTAATCTGTCACTAGTACCCATTTCTATGCAAAAGAACGTGACGAACTCAGTTATTCTAATTTGCTATGAACCACCCCTTCAAGGAACTCTGAGACAATGGTTCTGTGTTTTAAATACTTGATTTTAGTATAACTCCATTATCTTTATAAAATATATTTTCTAATTCTGTTTGGCCTTTGTCCCAATCATAGTGATTAGAGAGATTTTATTACACTTTTTTTCTGTTGTGGCTAATAGGTGGGTATGATGCAAGTTGGGCAAAATTATGTTCAGATTTTTAACTGGAGCATTTTTATTGACAGCAATTGAACCTGGCCATGATTAACTATGTCTTAGTAGTCTACGGACTTGCTATTTCTCTCCTTGGAATAGGACAGCCTGAGGTAAGATTTGTAACAGAGATAATAAACAGTTAAAATATGTCATTAATTTTAGAAGATAGGTAAAAAATAGTTTTGCCTCTTTGGCTTATTTCTTTCTGATAATTTCTTCTGAAATACCTGTTTATTTTTTTTTTTAAAGATTTTATTTATTCATTCGAGACACAGAGATAGAGAGAGCACGAGCAGGGGGAGAGGCAGAGGGAGAAGCAGGCTCACCGCTGAGCCAGGAGCTGGACATGGGGCTCAATCCCAGGACCCTGGGATCATGACCCAAGCCGAAGGCAGATGCTTAACCATCTGAGCCACCCAGGCGCCCCTGAAATACCTGTTTAATTTGTGTTGTTTTTATTAAAAAGAAAATGTGATCCAATAATAAAATAGCTATGCCAGACGACCAGTAGGAATTTTTTTTTTTTTAAGATTTTACTTATTTATTTGACAGAGAGAGAGGAACACAGGCAGGGGGAGTGGGAGAGGGAGAAGCAGGCTTCCCGCTGAGCAGGGAGCCCAATGTGGGGCTCGATCCCAGGACCCTGGGATCATGACCTGAGCTGAAGGCAGACACTTAACGACTGAGCCACCCAGAAGCCTGGAATTTTTTTCACTTGTATAAAAAGTAAATCTGTATTATCACAGATTTAAGAGAACACGTTGAGTGAAAAAGACAAGTTGGAGAAGAACATAACAAACATTGTGATAACCACTTATGTACAATTTGGAAAACATACAGAACAATAGCATATATTCTTTATGACCATCTCTGCCTCTTGTAAAGGTTAAAAAAACCACAGGCTAGCCTAGTTTAAGATAATGCTTGCATTTAGTGATGGAAGGAAGGAATGGGCTTGTGGAGATTTAAGAAAGGAGAGTTCAACTTTGTGTTAAGATCTCTTAGTTCTGGGTGGTAGTTTTTGGGTATTTTATTATCTTCTAGAGTGCAGACTTCCCATAACCACATACAGTCAGCGTGTAGGTGTGAGCACACATGGTTTCCATCACTCATGGTCCTTCAGTGCTCTCCTGGAAGTTGTGCCTATCTGCACTGCACGGCATTATACAGTTGACCCTTGAAAAGACCAGTTTGAATTGCCTGGGTTCACTTACACATGGATTTAAAAAGAATACAGTACTGTGAATGTATTTTCTCTTTCTTATGATTTTTCTTTTCTCTTGCTTTATTATAAGGTTATAGTATATAATACGTATATAAAATATGTGTTAATCTGCTCTTTATATTATTGATAAGGCTTCTAGTCAAGTAGGCTATTAGTTGTAAAGTTTTGGGGGAATCAAAGGTTATACCTGTATTTTCCATTGCATGGGGCACCCCACACCCCTGCATTTTTCAGGTGTGAGCTATAATTTGCTTTCTGTGGTTTTCAGTTTTCAATAAAAGTTAAAATTGCTCTAGAATTACCTCAGGTATAATATATCCTTTCTGCCAACTTGGCCTCCAAGCTTCCTTGGCTAAATGAAGGCTTAACCCTAACTGCTGCCTAATAAGGTTAATCATCTTTTAGGTTCCACTCTCAAAGTGGTTTACAGTGGCCGAGGTTCATTTTCCTTGTTACATGCCTCTTTCCTTGTTCTTGAGGTGACAGATGAATGTGTTCCATTAAGGCCTAATTCTGTTTTCTAATAGATTGTTGGAGACAGGACTTCATGATCTCAGTTCTTCTGTTCTTGGCAGAGTCATAATAAATATCCTGTTTTGCTTTATCAGAATTGAAGAAATAGTTCAGTACGTTTGTGATTTACTTTGAATTAGTGAGACTGATTTAAAAAAAACAGATATGATAGAACTTGGACATTTAAAAGAATGTCATCATTCAGAGTAGCCCCCGAAGTAAGCAGTATATTTGCTCCAGTACAGCTCTTGCTTAAAACATTTTTGGAATGCCTCCTTTGGAACTGGCCTCAAAGCTTCTTATAAACTCCCATTTTGTAGTGACAGTTCCCTTTTCACCCACAATGGGGTTACCAGGGTTACCTTGAGCTGTTTCTTCTGGATTTTTTCCAAAACAATTCATTCTAAGCACAGAAGTTTCTTTTTTTTTTTTTAAATAATCTTTTATTGTTATGTTAATCACCATACATTACATCATTAGTTTTTGATGTAGTGTTCCATGATTCATTGTTTGTGCATAATACCCAGTGCTCCACACAGAATGTGCCCTCTTTAATACCCATCACCAGGCTAACCCATCCCCCCACCTCCCTCCCCTCTAGAACCCTCAGTTTGTTTTTCAGAGTCCATCTTCTCTAATGGTTCGTCTCCCCCTCCGATTTCCCCACCTTCATTCTTCCCCTCCTGCTATCTTCTTCTTCTTCTTCTTTTTTTTCTTAACATATATTGCATTATTTGTTTCAGAAGTACAGATCCGTGATTCATCAGTCTTGTACAATTCACAGTGCTCACCATAGGACATACCCTCCCCAATGTCTATCACCCAGCCACCCAATCCCTCCCACCCCCCACCACTCTAGCAACCCTCAGTTTGTTTCCTGAGATTAAGAATTCCTCATATCAGTGAGGTCATATGATACATGTCTTTCTCTGATTGACTTATTTCACTCAGCGTAACACCCTCCAGTTCCATCCACGTCATTGCAAATGGCAAGATCTCATTCCTTTTGATGGCTGCATAATATTCCATTGTGTATATATACCACATCTTCTTTATCCATTCATCTGTCGATGGACATCTTGGCTCTTTCCACAGTTTGGCTAGTGTGGACATTGCTGCTATAAACATTGGGGTGCATGTACCCCTTCGGATCCCTACATTTGTATCTTTGTGGTAAATACCCAGTAGTGCAATTGCTGGATCGTATGGTAGCTCTATTTTCAACTTTTTGAGGAACCTCCATACTGTTTTCCAGAGTGGTTGCACCAGCTTGCATTCCCACCAACAAGCACAGAAGTTTCTACTATTGAGAATATTCAAAAGAATGTACTCTAAGTTCTGTAAAGCTTTTGCTAAAACACTATTTTTAAAACAAAGCATTTATCTTTCTTATGCCACAAAACATTGTGGGTAACATTATTGGAGTGCCTATATCCCAAGGGAGCAGCACTTGCAAGGATATATGTCATGGAGTGCTTGCATTTAGTCAGTGTTTTTACTATGAATTCACACCCTTTAGTGTTAGCCAGCACATACCAGGCCCTCTCTGTGTATTAATAAATGCTCATTTGGTTTGTTGTCTTATGTGTTCCACACCAATTTTTCATTCTCAAACTGGATCACTTTGGTTGTGTCTCTGTATATCCTATGTCAAAATTTGTATATTTGCTAAGAAAATAAAATGCAGAAGGTTTAATTTTGCCATAGAAATTTTTGGATATACAGTTGTTTGTAATATTACACAAATATTACACAAAATATTGACCTTCAGATAAAATCTGTTCCAGTGTTTCTTTTGCAGTTTAAGTGATCATTGTTTTTATTGCTACTGAAGGAATTATCTGAAGCTGAAAACCAGTTTAAGAGGATGATTGAACACTACCCCAATGAGGGACTTGATTGCTTGGCCTACTGTGGAATTGGAAAAGTATATTTGAAGAAGAACAGGTTAGTAGAAACTATGCTCTTTTACACTCAGGTTGGATAACTGAGTTGAAGTCTAATGTTGTAGTGGAGGTCCCTTTTCTGGAATTACATTGTTATCTTCTCTGTGGCAAACTATTATCATCATGTTTGCTTGGAGGACCAGCATTTCTGTATCATTAATTATTAAAATATGGCCAATCAGGGGCGCCTGGGTGGCTCAGTCGTTAAGCATCTGCCTTCAGCTCAGGTCATGATCCCGGGGTCCTGGGATCAAACCCCGCATTGGGCTCCCTGCTCGTCGGGAAGCCTGTATCTCCCTCTCTCTCACTCCCCCTGCTTGTGTTCCCTCTCTTGCTGTCTCTCTTTGTCAAATGAATAAATAAAATCTTAAAAAAAAATATGGCCAGTCAGTTCCGCTCCTAGTGCTTCCTTATTTTCAATCTCATAAGAAAGTCAGGAACAAAATGATTTGACCCAAAGTATTTTGTATTTTTTCTCTTAGTATTTGCCCTTATAAATGGTGACTGAATTGATATAAATTAATGCTTTACAAGTCCGATTGTATAATTTTTTGGTTACCAAAATATGTTTCCACCCAAAAACCTGTATGAATATGGTTTTAATATGAGATAGATACCTGTTCAAAGACATCATGAGTTAGGAATAAGAATCTCAGAACTTTTTCTATAGTTGGAATCCCTACTCAAAGTTTAGTATGTAGTTGTTTTGCAAGTGTTTCTTGTCTTATCTTCCCAAATTGCTGTATGACCCTTTGGGGATAGGATTATGCATTGAGCTTTAAAAAAAACTCCCCTGTTCACTGCTTGCTTGGGCAGCACATAGACTAAAATTGGAATAATACAGAGAAGATTAGCATGGCCCCTGTGCAATGACGATACACAAATTTGTGAAGCGTTCCATATTTTTGGCACAATAAGACTATCATTAACTGTAAAACAACAATAACAAAAAGAAAACCAAAAATCTCCCTGTTCCTGCACTTAACACCCAGTATATTGGTAGGTGTGTTAGATTACCTTATAAATAAATAATTATTGACTGATTGAGTATCATTCATAGCTTTTAATCTTGAATTTTCATCTGTCCTTTTAGGGAAATTTTTTTAAGATTTTTATTTTTAAATAATCTCTACACCCAACCTGGGGCTCAGACTCCCAACGCTGAGATCAAGAGTTGCATGCTTTTCTGACTGAACCAGCCAGGTGCTCCCAAGGGAAATTTTATCAGACCTTTGGGACTCTTGGGAACCCAGTCTTGGAATGTGCCTAGAACTTCCTTTATAGATTTTTTAGAGATTAAAGAAAGTTCTTTTACTTCAAGAAGTTACTGTGTGACTAGGCTGAATTATATTAAGAATCAGGTAGAGGGAGGGATAGTGAGGATTTAGCAATCATCTGTATAGGAACAGCAAATGAAATTAATTTCAAAGTTTGGCATAACTTATTTAAGATATACGTTTTTATTTTTATTTATTTTTTTTTAATTTTTTTAAAAGATTTTTATTTATTTATTTGACAGAGATAGAGAGCACAAGTAGGCAGAGCGGCAGAGGGAGAGGGAGAAGCAGGCTCCCCGCCGAGCAGGGAGCCTGATGTGGGGCTCAATCCCAGGACCCCGGGATCATGACCTGAGCCGAAGGCAGCCGCTCAACCGACTGAGCCACTCAGGCGCCCCTAAGATACACGTTTTTAATGCAGTAGTCACATGTAATTATTCATAAGATCTAGGAATATATCATAAATGTGTAACATCATGGGAACTATGGTAAATGAAAAAGTCTTTGCCATTTTGAAAAGCGTTTACATTTTAATTTCAAAATAATATGGTGTGGGGTTCAGTGTCTCATGTGTTGGTTTTTGCTGTTGTAATGTGCAGTTTCTGGTAAAGTTCTGCTATTATCTGTCATTTTATGGTTGATGGTGGTCTAAGCTTTTCTGCAGGTGAATTTTTCTTACCCATAGGCAAAAAAAGTTCTTAAATTGGAAGATCATTTCAAGATTGGAGAAAGCAAGAAACCTTTCTTCTCTAGTCTGAAGAGAATAATAAAGACTTGGTTAACTTTGTAATCCAGTGTATTAATATTATTTTGTTGAATGGACTGTGGGAATCTATTGACATTTTTTAAAAACATGAATCAGAACTAAAACATTTTATGTAGTTAAAACAATTTACATACACATTTATTCTTTTAAAATACTTTACTGCTTTATGGTTGAAGAAGTATGTCCAGCATACACGATCTCTTTAGATTTTTTTCAGAAGAGTGGTTTTTACTAATAGATGTCCTAATAGAGTTGAGTTTAAAAAAAATATATTTATGATTAATTAGCTGAAGTAAAGGGCTGTCATTTCTCTATAGGAATCTAATTAGCTTTGTAAATGAAACAAAAGTGAAACAACCAGATTATTCAATTTTCTGTTTTAATTGTTGGAAATTTTTTTTTTAAGATTTTATTTATTTATTTGACAGAGAGAGTGCAAGCACAAGCAGGGGGAAGCAGCAGAGGGAGAGGGAGAAGCAGGCTCTCCGCCGAGCAGAGAGCCTGATGCAGGACTCGATCCCAGGACCCTGGGATCATGACCTGAGCCAAAGGCAGATGCTTAACCAACTGAGCCACCCAGGCGTCCCAATAAATTACAACTTTAAAAGGACTAGTATGCACCTACCATAATAAAGCCAGTGTCCAGGCAGATTTGTTGTTTATATTACTTTTATAGCAAACAATGAATAGTGCCTTCTTTTTTTTTTTAGTCTTTATTTTAATTCTTTTAATATACAGTGTTATATTAATTTCAGGTGTACAATATAGTGACTCAACATGCCTTTTTTTTTTTTTTAAAGAAAATAGAGGTTCCATTGAATATTTCTGAACAGTGATTTATCAAATGTACTCTTATTAGTAAACTTGAAATTTCTGTAACTTTTATTGTGGGGAATGAAAATTCTTATCACAGCTTTAATACCTTCTTTCTTCATAATTATGACTTTAGATTTCTAGAAGCTCTCAATCATTTTGAGAAAGCAAGAACCTTGATTTGTCGTCTTCCTGGAGTGCTAACTTGGCCCACAAGTAATGTGATTATTGAAGAGACTCAGCCGGGGAAAATAAAGGTAACCATTTATTTCTTCAGAGACCTTCGTACTAATTCGAAAAGCCCATCTGCACTGACTGACTCGGGTATCAGAAGACAAAGAGGTAGGGGCACTCTGTCCTCAGCATCCCCACATGTGTTTCCCTTTAAAGACTAGTGAGAATCACTAATATTTGTTAAATATTTCCTGTGTGCCAGTCACACAGCTTCCATTTATCATACCTTTAATCTTTACAGCAACTCTACAAGATGAGTACTATGATTATTCTCATTTTACTGAAGAGGAAGATTAAGTTAGGGACATTAAATGATGAGCTCAAGGTTAAACAGCTAGGAAATAGTGGAGGTGGGACTTGCATCTAGGCATTCTGATTTCAGAGCATTCATTATTAAGTAGTATGACTTACTGCTTGTACTTAGAGAAAGGTATAGCACTGTTTCATCATAGTGACTATAATTATTAAGATGGCACTTGAGGACTTGGAAAATATAAATTTGGTCTCATATCCAGAGACATAGGATGCTTTGCTAGTTCTGGAAAGACTAAATTATGTGTGGATTGACTAGAATAGGCCTTTACTTGTGGGGAACCGTGGCATGTATACAGAACTTGCTTTTGGCTAAAGCTTTTAAAAGCTTAAAACTCAATAATAAAAAGAATTTGATTAAAAGTAGCCATTATACTGGAATTAAAAAAATAAAAAATAAATGAAAAAGTAACCGAAGAATCTGAACAGACCTATCTGCCAAGAATTTCTGCAAATATCCAATAAACCTGTGAAAGATGTTTAACAGCATCAGCTATCAGAGAAATGCAAATTCAAACCATAATGAGATACAACCTCACACACTAGGATGGCTGTACTCGAGAAGGCAGACAATCGAAAGTGTTGATACCTATCTCTGGATATGTCTCTGTATCAGAACCCCTATATGTTGCTGGTAGACATGTAAAATGGTCTGGCAGCTCCCCAGTAGAGTAAAGATAGAGTTACCATATGACCTAGCAGTTTCATTCCTAAACTTATACAGAGGAAGGAAAACATATGTTCTCACAAAAATGTGTATGTGAATGTTTATAGCAACACTATTCATAATAGTTAAAAAGTGGGAACAGCTCACGTGTCCATCAGCTGATGAGTTGTTAAATAAAACCATTCATAAGCCATTCATAAAACCATACAGTAGCCTATCCATACAAGTGAATATTTGCCCATAAAGAATAATGTACTGATAAGTACTACAGCATGGATGAACCTTGAAAACATGCTAAGTAAAAGAAGCCAGACACAAAAGGCCACATGTGTGATTGTATTTATCCAGAATTTCCAGAATAGGCAAATCTGTATTTAGAGACAAAGTAGATTCGTGGTTTCAGGGGGTTGGGGATTGGGAGAAAATGCAGAGGGACTGCTAATGGGGATGGATTTCTTTGTTGGGTGATAAAACTGTTTAAATTTAGACTGAGGCAGTGGTTGTACAACACTGTGAATATACTGAAAGCCACTGAACTATATATATTTTAAATGTGTAGATTGTGTGATATATGAATTATATCTCAACAAAACTGTTTAAAAAAAAAATCACTGAGGGCGCCTGGGTGGCTCAGTCGGTTAAGTGGCTGCCTTCGGCTCAGGTCATGATCCCAGGGTCCTGGGATCGAGCCCCACGTCCGGCTCCCTGCTTGGCGGAGAGCCTGCTTCTCCCTCTCCCTCTGCCTACCACTCTGCCTGCTTGTGCTGTCTCTCTATCTGTCGAATAAATAAATAAAATCTAAAAAAAAAAAAAAATCACTGATGTTCTCTTTATAGTAGATTGGGGTGGAGACAGAGGAGCTCTTGAGAACAAAAAGCCAGCACTGGAAGCATGGCACAAGTGTCTTGGGGGCTTCAGTGGCTGTGGGATAATTCTTCAGGGAATGCACAAGATGAATCAGGATGGTAGGATCCCAGGTGAAGTGACACTGGGAAGGAGAAGAAGGGTAGATTCCTAAGGGTTTTTCTACCTCATCTAACTCCCTCTGAGTGCCTAAAGGACATTTCTAAGAGCTATACCTTGTCAAATGAGGCTTGATGATAACACGGGATAAGGTTTTGATTCTGACTCTGAAATTCTGAAAGTTCCCGTTCAATCTTTTTTCTCCAACTTTTTCTCTGGATATGTCTCTGTATCAGCCTTTATTTTTTGAGAGCGAGAACACGAGTGCATGCGAGAGAGAGAGAATCTCACAAACCTGAGATCATGACCTGAGCCGAAATCAAGAGTCAGGCGCTTAACCAGCTGAACCACCCAGGTGCCCTGTGTATCAACCTCCTTCTAAAAAAGAAAAACTAAGGGGCGCCTGGGTGGCTCAGTCGGTTGAGCATCTGCCTTTGGCTCAGGTCATGATCCCAGTGTCCTGGGATCAAGCCCCAGGTTCAGCTCCCTGCTCAGTGGGGAGCCTGCTTCTCCCTCTCCTCCTGGCTTGTGCTCTCTCACTATCTCTGTCTCTCTTTCAAATAAATAAAATCTTTAAAAAGAAAAACTTTAGAAGTTATATGTAGTTTAGTCTTTGCTAAAAAACATTTTGTCATTCATTCCTATGCTGAAAGTATTTTGATGGCAAGAAGTTATTGAAATCATAAGCATTTTTATTGACGAATTAGTGTTGTGATATTGTTTTTGTTTATTTTTGTTTTAGATGCTGTTAGAGAAATTTATTGAAGAATGCAGATTCCCTCCAGTGCCAGATGCCATTTGTTGCTATCAGAAGTGCCGTGGATATTCCAAAATCCAGATATATATAACTGATCCGGACTTCAAGGTACATGATGAAAGTACAGTAGGACAGTAACTTGTAGAATTGTGCCTTAAAATGGATTCAGAACAAATTCTGTAATCGGAGGTACTCAAGTTCTCTGCGGTGGCAGTTTTATGTCCTTTGGTCTACCCTATCCCCTGGACTTCTGTAGGTCTACATCATCTCATTTGGGAACGCAGAGCCACTAAGTAAACCCTGAGTGCAGGGGTAGTCACCTAAGAAGGCAGGCTAGCTAATTCTATTTTCCCTTTCTAGCCACTGTTATATAACTTGCCTATTTCTTAGCAGCAGAGGAAAGAAAATGAGATTATTTCTTCTGACTGGTTGCAATTTTAATTTCTTGTAAAATTTGAGTCCAGGAATCTAAAGGCTGTTGTGACCACTGAATTAGCTCCTGGAGACCTAAGTTTGTAACCAGGTCTGGCACTTAATTGAGTTCCTGGGCCTTAGTTTATTCAAGAAGATAGTAACTGCCTACTCTCCCTGGTTAGTAGATCAGATGAATAATGTTTATAAAATATTTGATACTGTAGAGGAGAATACGTCTGTACACTATGGAAATGAGTATGTCAGTCAAGTTCTCTGTCTCTAGCACTAGGCATTTAGGGGTATAGAAGTATTGTACTTCCCTGGGAGAGAATGTGATATTTAGTTATGTTTGCCTGGTTAATGCAGACAGCTCTCCCTTTATTTTAATATGTGTGTTGTGATTGTGAAAGAAGAGTGTGTATGTGTAGACATCTTTAAATGTGTATTTAAACACTGTTTTAAACCCCTAGGGTTTTATACGAATCAGCTGCTGCCAATACTGTAAAATAGAATTTCACATGAACTGTTGGAAGAAGTTGAAAACAACAACTTTTAATGATAAAATTGACAAGGTAAGTTCACATAGTCTGGATTTTGTAGTGTGCTTAATTTATGTTGATTTTTTTCCCTGAGAATCTTAGGAGAAGTTTTTAGTGAATATAAGTTCCTTTCTATGCATTCTAAACATAACTAAAAAGTTTTAAATGAAAACTTTAATGATAAAGTAGAAAATCAGTTTTTTTTTTTATTTTATACTGGCATAAGGGCAATAACCATAGAGGCCTTTAATAGTTTAACCAGTTTTTATATTAGGAATCTTATCAAAAATAAAAGTTTAAATGTCTGATGTTAGTGTTCTGATGTAGAATTAGGGTCTCAAATGTTTTATGTTCTCCAAACTTAGTACTGTCACTTCTAATTGTGGTTTTTTCTTAATTAGCAAGATAATAATGTTAATTACCATTAGCTAGATACCTTGAGCGAAGGCACAATTTTGTAATCTTATTTGCATTCATTTGTTTCTGATTCCTATAAGCTATGGACTTTAAAAAAAAGAAAAGAAAACCATTTTCTTTTTTAATTATTTTCATTATTATGTTCAATTAGCTAGCATGTAGCACATCATTAGTTAAGAAAACCATTTTCTACACTGCTTAGCCTCATGAAGCCCCTATTCTTGTTGGAGAAAAGAGTAAGATGCTTGTGCTAGGTATTTATTAGCAAAAGGAATTATTCAAGTTTGGTAGAAATAAATTCTCACATTTTATGCATTTTCACATAGTTAACTAAAGATACAATGATATAACCAAATAATTGTTGCCTTTGAGTCACTTTTGCTATGTCTTTGTCTGACATTAACTCAGTTTCTCTAGTTACACATGCACCCTTACTGGTCTTAACCATTCCTGTGAGTTAAAATACTCCTTGTAAATTAGTCACCTTGCACTAGGATATACTGAAGTAATACACAACCCAAGTATATCTTGATTTATAATAAGAATCTCTTGCTTACGTTTATTGTCCTAGAGTTCTGCAGCTGTGGGCCAGCAGCTCTAGTCTGTGTAGCTGTGTTGTTTCTGAATTGAGGTTGAAGAGTGACCGGAACATCTTCCTGTGGCAGAGAGTAAAGAGCAATGGCCAGTCCATTCAGTGTTTCTTAAAGCTTTTGCGTGGACCTATGTGCATTATGTTAGCTCACTCTGCATTGACCAAAGCAAGTCATGTGGTCAGCCCTACAGCTGGGAGTACGTTCCTTCTACAAGGGAGGCTCTGAAAGTCAGAAGACAAGGAGCAGGGACTTTCATTCCCTCCCTAAAGGAGGTTTTAGACATATCTTGACTATTCCTGATGGTTAAAATGGTATACATATATAGATTTATTCTGAGATATAGCACTTGTTTTTTTAATCAAATAGGATTTTCTACAAGGAATTTGTCTTACCCCTGACTGTGAAGGAATCATTTCTAAGATTATCATTTTCAGCAGTGGTGGTCAAGTTAAATGTGAAGTAAGTATCTAATAGAGGGGAAATATTACCAAATTGTTAACCAAAATGTTTATAACTTTTAAAATATTTAAATTTGGGGAAGTTGTACAATTTAGATCTTGTGTTTTCCAGGAGAAATGTTCTTTAATTTAAGAAAATGTAGGAAATATTAGGATGTCATAATGTATCTTTGCAATGAAGGATTCTCACATTCTTTCATTTCCTAAAAGAGGAAACTTTACATTTTAGTTTTACTGTTTTTATTCTTTTCGATAATCTTGTTTTCTTAATCCCCAGTAAACTTATGGGTATTAACAAAGGTGGAGTTCTTAGGAAGGGGGAAGAGTGTTTTGAAGGATTACCTTTCACTTCACTATATGGGAGTGTTAGGAGTGGGTTATTCTAATGGTATTTGTAGTTTATTTGATCTGCTTACTCTTAATTTTTTTTTTTGAGCTTCCTAAAGTGTGTCTACTCTTTTGTTCCTCTTTTCAGTAAATTGTTTTGCTAAAATTTTCTGGGCTTTTGTCTGGGTCAGAACATCATCCCTGTTCTCTATCAAACTGATTATTGACTGTGTGCTTCTGAACTGCTTGTTACTTGTGGTTTTGTGCTTTATGTCATGGGAGTATGAGACAAATTTTGGATGTCTTTGTTTTATTTAAAGTTTGAACACAAGGTCATAAAAGAAAAGGTTCCTCCAAGACCTATTCTGAAACAGAAATGTTCTAGGTAAGATTTTTAACAATCAATTAGTAGTTTAATGATGTCTATTAGAATATAATTCTGTTAAATGCAGATTTCTAAGTTATGCTAGTTTTTAAATTGGCTGTATACACATATCCAAATACGTGGTGTTTAAATGAATTTTATGGATATTTAAAACTTAAAGAGAACTGCCTATGGTTAAATACTAAAAGCTTGAATAAGAAGCATTATTTGGTGATTGAATTTTTAAATAAAATTATGACATTTGATGCTATGAAATGACATGTTTGATCAATAGCTTTGGCATTTAGATTAAATTTACATACCTAGCTCTCCGTTGTTTAAACTTTAATTCCAAAAGCATTTTTCTTTTTTATCTCTCTTCAGTAAACATTTTTGAACCAATGACTATTTCTCACCCTGAAAAACTCAATATACTGTCAAAAATATTCACTTCTGTATGTATTGTTTAGTCAAATAATTCCAGTCCTTTTTTTCTTCTTCTTTTTGGTCCTGCTTCTTGTCCTCTATTCCAAGAAGTGATTTTTTTCATCATTTGTGACCAAGAAAAAAAAAAGAAAAGATGAACAGAATTATTTGTTGAAGAGAATTCATTGTAAACCATACCAACCAAATTCCAGTGTTGTGGGCCATTATTGGGATGTGAAAATAATATTTTACTGTAGGATCTTTCTTTGAGATGAGTGTATATATGTACTGTCTTGCAGGGTAATTTATACCATTTTTATTTACCCTAAGCAGTAACTTATATACATGAAAACATTTGTGCAATGTGTGCATGCCACCCTTAATTAAAAGTTAGTCATTGAGTTCTTGCTTTCATGAAATAAGTACCCTAATCTTAATTGAACATGTGTCAACGGTTTTTGATATTAAAGAGAAGATGCAGGACAAGTTCTGAATTAAAAAGGAAACTTCTAGCTTACTACTTGGAGAATGGTTTCTGTAATAGGCAGATAGTTAATTGAGTTTATAACAAAGGTGGATTATCACTAATTGTAAATGCTTATCAGCCTAGAGAAGCTAAGACTGAAAGAAGACAAAAAATTGAAGAGAAAGATCCAAAAAAAAGAAGCAAAAAAATTAGCACAAGAAAGAATGGAAGAGGACTTAAGGGAAAGTAATCCACCCAAAACTGAAGAGCAGAAAGGTATGCTGAAGTCAAAGGCATGATGAGAGTAATATCTTCTTCCTTAAAAGCATAAACATAAATATCCATCTTATTGGGCATTATATTGTTACTGAATTGGAATTTAGATTTCAGTTCGTATTTTAGTACCATCACTTTCTTGTGTTGCTCTGAGATGGGGAGAGTTTGGCACAAAGAGCAACTGAATTTGGAAGCAATACATACACGGGGATAGCGGTGTGCTAACTTGAGGCAAGATCTGTGTCAGTTATCACCAAAGTAAAGGTGGAAATAATAGCTGACATGCATATTGTATGTTTGATAGTATTCTATAAACTCCACTATGCAGATTTAGGTTCTAAAACATTGAATGTGAATTAGCTACTAATTATCTGAAATAATGCTGAGTTCAAATAAAGAAGCAGTTCATAAAAGATGCTGTAGAGATTACCTAACCCAGCCTTCTGTTTTACGTTTCTCTTGTTGTTATTCCCTGATCATCATGGGAATGTGATTATACTGTTCCTGTGAACATATTTACTTTCCGGTTTTTTTCTTAATTAAGGGTTTTTTTTAAAATTGAGGAATAAAGGACATAACATTATATGAGTTTCAGGTGTACAACATGATGTATATATTGTATATTCATATATATTGCAAAACGATCACCACAGTAAATCCAGTTAACATCCATCCAATACATAGTTACAGAATTTGGTTTCTCATGAGAAGAATTTTCAAGATCCACTCTTCTAGCTACTTTCAAATATACAATGCAGTATTTTTATTATTTTTTAAAAGATTTTATTTATTTATTTGACAGAGACATAGCGAGAGAGGGAACACAAGCAGGGGGAGCGGGAGAGGGAGAAGCAGGCTTCCCGCCAAGCAGGGAGCCCAATGTGGGGCATGACCTGAGCTGAAGGCAGACACTTAATGACTGAGCCACCCAGGTGCCCCTTATTATTATTATTTTTTTTTAAAGTAGACTCCACACCCAGCGTGGAGCTCAGTGCAGGGCTTGAACTCATGACCCTGAGATCAAGACCTGAGCTGAGATCAAGAGTTGGACACTTAGCCAACCAACTGAACCACCCAGGCGCCCCACAATATAGTAATATTAACTGTAGTCACCATGCTGTACATTACATCCCCAGGACTACTTTCAGTTTTCAGTTAAAGGAAGTTATTCTTTCTCATTTTCTAGTGTGATGGCTATTCCCAAAATGAAATACTTCCTCTTGTTGTTTTTATTTTTTATTTAGTATTCCATTAATGTTTCACAAATCAGTCAAAATTATCTTTCCTACTATAGAAGTCTCTGGTAAATGTTTGTGTTTTAACTTTGGATGCTTCAAGATGCTAAATGGCCATCCATTAGGGAGATGCCTGGGTTGGGAAGATGAACTTCTGAGTGATTTTCCAGCTTGGAATTAACAACTCCATGGGATCCTATGGTTTAGGATCCAACAATAAGATGAGTAAAGCAGTAACTAGCAAATATTAATTGAATTCATAACTAAATAAATGATCCTTTCAACTCCAGAAAAAAAACCCTTTGCATTCTTAATGATTAAGCATAGTTACTGAATGTAAAGTATAGGTAGTGGGGCGCCTGGGTGGCTCAATTGGTTAAGCAACTGCCTTCGGCTCAGGTCATGATCCCGGAGTCCCAGGATCGAGTCCCACATCGGGCTTTCTGCTCAGCAGGGAGTCTGCTTCTCTCTCTGACCCTCTCTCCTCTAATGCTGTCTCTCTCATTCTCTCCCTCTTAAATAAATAAATTAAATCTTTAAAAAAAAAAAGTTTAGGTAGTGATGAGGCTGGGTTAGGATTGTTGAACTTTATTTTAGAGGAACTAAATTTTTAGATGTTACCATGAGTGGTATAGAGTGAAGGAGACAAGCTATTTTTGATATATTTGATTTAATGTGAACTTTCATATCTTTTCAAAGGTATTGTTAAGTATATTCCAAATTTAAGATTTCTTGAGTTTATTTAAAACATTAAGAATCTGAACCATATTTTATATTATTGTGTAATGTTCTATTATTTCTTTCTCAGTTTATATCTTTTCAAATTGGTCCGTTGCTCACTTTAATCACTTTTATTTGTCCTTAGAAACTGCAGACAATGTTCAGAGTTGCCAGTTCCTTGATGACAGAATTCTGCAGTGCATAAAGCAGTATGCTGACAAGATAAAATCTGGTATTCTGAACACTTCCAAGCTTCTCAAAGAATTGCTTTCTTGGAAGGTTTTAAGCACAGAAGACTACACAACCTGTTTTTCTAGCAGAAATTTTCTAAATGAAGCAGTGGACTATGTCATTCGTCACTTGATTCAAGAAAAGAATAGAGTAAAGACCAGGATATTTCTGCATGTTTTGAGCGAGCTTAAAGAAGTGGAGCCAAAATTAGCCGCCTGGATCCAGAAACTTAACAGCTTCGGTATGCCACTGAGTTCTAGAGCTGCGGCTTAGTAGGAAGGGTGGACATCGGCCTCTCATCCCTTTTTCGTTTTTCTGTCATCATTTATGATTTTTTTTAAAATGTAGGACTACAGATTTGTATGGTTAAAAGTACTATTTCCTCCCAACTCAAAATTTAGGTTATTTTATAGATAGGTTACAGTACACTTTTAAAAGGTGTAAACACAAGAAAGTTTTGTCAGAAAATCCAGTCCTGTATTTTGCTAAACTATTTGTAAATGTGTAAACGAAGAGAATCCTAGGCAGGTCATGGGTCAGTAGCGCCCCCTGGAGGTAGCTGTCTGAGTGCCCTCTGGGATTGTGCAGTTCTGTAGTCAGATTCCTTGGAAAATTTAGAGGAAGAGTGGATGGAACTAATTGCTTAGGATCACTGAAGGCAAATCTGTATCTAAGGATTATGAGAAAAATACGCTGAGGTTGAATCACATGATTATAAAACTCTGCTATTGTTCCTGATTTTCCTAATTTGGTGGAGGAAGACCCTCCCCTCCCCCCAAGGAGGCTCTTTGCCCAAGGCCATGCAGGGACTGCATAAAGCAGCTGCAGATAGAGTTGTGGTCTAATACTAGATTGAGGTTTCTCTGGGTACCTACCAGGGCACTGTTTATCTTGGTGACTGTGGTGGTAACTGGCGTCAGATAGTGGATGATTCAATTGGCAGCTGTTGGCTACAAGGCCAGTGGGAGCTACAGCGGAGCAGTCCAAAGGGTGAGACTGCCACACCTCTGCAAGTCGCCCCCACCTGTTGGAATTTTTAGGGACATGGAACTCTTAGAATTCTAGAGTTTCAGGGAATATATTGATAGATTTCTGTCAGTAGAAACAAAGTAAGATGGCAGGAAGCTCAGCATATTTGATCGCTAAGTGTTGCTGCTTTGAGCATAGGTCTGCACGGGTTTCTGGTCCCAGAAAATCACTCTTAAGTGATAAGATTGTCATTTGCATCTATTAACAATCAAATAAATAAATTATAATGTTATTTTTAACTTTAATCTGCTTTGGAAGATAGACTTAGGAGAAGGAAGCTTTCTGGTTATGCTTACGCGGGCAAGAGTGCCGGCCACTGTTCTTTCAGTGTACTGTAGTATTTGAGCCTTATAGCTCACTGATGGAAGTGTTAATGTGTCCTTTTGATATAATTCACATTTATTCTGAAGATTAAAGGTATTTTAATAAGTATATAGATACTATTTAAAGTTGCAGTTTTTATTTTTAAAAAGTTCTAAAATGACTTCAAGCATGTTAATTAGTAAGATTATACTATATCCCTGATGTAAAGCTCATATTTATTTATTAAAGGCAAGTAATTTCCAATTCCTGGAATTTTACTTCCTTCTGAACAAAAAGTCTATACTGTAGGGTCACATCATATGCATATTTAACATGAGAGGTCAGTTTATATGTGGGGTGTGGGGGAGAGTAAAGTTTTAATACTAGAATTGACCTCTTGCCTTCCCTTCAATGAGCACATTTTTCATGCAGCATTGACCTCTGCAAGGTAACTGTTTCATCTGGAGGAAACAGCCATCCAGGGTAATTTTGACTCTGCAGTCTGCTTCATATGCTGACTGAGAAACTATGGCTGACATAAGAGGCGATTGTGCTGTGTTCGAGATGGGTGGGAAGATAGACCAGAACTGGTCTTTGCCTTTGGTGGCTGTGTTAGTAAGGGTAGGGGCTCACCATTCCTTCAGAACAGTGGTATGAGGTTGCAGCCACTTCTTTTTCTGATTTGTTAGAAGGTGGAATAAAAGTGGGAATAGTGACCATCCTGATTTTTGGAGGAGGGTAAGGAGTCATTAATGGAGGTGTTGGGGGGTTTGTTTACCCCTTTCCTGTTTTAAAAGCTCTTGGGAAGCATTTGCATATTCTTGTTACTATGGAATATATGTAGAAAAGCACTAAAATCTTGCTGGTTTGTACTGATTAGAATGAAAATCTTTTTGAATTAGTAAAAGAGTTGTTATATTTTTACAGGAATTTAATGCCCTGTTTTCATTGCCAAAGTCTAATAAAAATGACCATAGAAGCTTATAATATATGAGCTATTATGTAAGAAGCCTTTGGCCCACCGCATTCAACTAATAGATAAGAACTATTGTAATTAGCATATCATTAAGTGGTATTCCTAAAATGCAAAATAGCTCGAACAAGTTTATATTCAGGTATGTGTTTTCACTGAAAATGTCAGCAAACTATAACTGAACTGCTTTCAGGGATGTAAAATTGAATGTGATTTTATGGTATATGATTTTACCTTTTTCTGATTTGGGTTTTGTTTTGTTTTGTTTTGTTTTTACAGGTTTAGATGCCACAGGACCTTTTTTTTCTCGTTATGGAGCGTCTCTTAAGGAGCTTGATTTTAGCATCATGACTTTTCTCTGGAATGAGAAATACGGTCATAAACTAGCCTCTATAGAAGGAAAGCAATTTGATTACTTCTGTGAGCCAACATCACTGAAGGAAGCACGGTGTTTAATATGGTTGCTAGAAGAGCACAGAGACAAGTTCCCCGCACTGCATAATGCTCTAGATGAGTTCTTTGACATAATGGGTGTGTGAGCTGAGTTTCAATTTGTATTATATCTGGGCTGAGGGGGGAAAACAAATCTGTGAAGGATCTAGCTTATTTAATACTTGGTAAAATAGAATTATTATGGTACAGCCTGCTTATTTGGGCAAGTAAGTGATTAAGAAGAGTGGTGTTTTGTTTTGTTTTATGTCATAAAATGTTTTTACTCTGTTGAGCTAAGTGTTGTAGGGGTGCTCAGATGGGTGTGTTACACTAATTACACACCATATTATTCTCATCTTAGATACATTGACAGTATCATGGCAAAGGCTGATTATTAAACGGACAGAATTTATCAGTAAATGGTTTAAATTGTAACCTTCAAGAAAACATCTCCCTGCAGAGGAGGTGATGTTTGCAAAATCTAGAAATAGCACAGCTGTTGTAGTGGGAAAACTTAGATTGGGGTGGGAAAACTTAGATTGGGGAATCAGGAAAAGTAAGCTGTGGCCCAGCTTCTTCCCTAATTCAGTTCACTAAAAACCTTGTTTTTACTACTGCTTTAAGGCCCCTGCCCGAGCTGGGTGTTAGCCAGGAACTCAGAAATGCTTATGCTAGTCCCTCCCTTCAAGGACCTTATATTGTGGAAAAGGGAATAAGATGAATATACAAATAACTAATGTGGACATAAGCTCAGTAAGAGAGGACCAGAAAGAGTGCTGGCGGTTCAAATGGAGGATCAAGCACTTGTGTTCTTCCTGGGGAAGATGAAGCCTTGGTGCAGGGCTAGAGTCCGAGCTGTGAACATGGATGTAGTCAGATTGGTGGACATCAGACTTAGAGACATGGGGTTGAGAGGAGTTGGGTCACCTGTTTGGATAGCAGCATGGAGTCCCAGTTTAGCAGAATAGGATGACTAGTAGTTAATTTCTTAGCTTCTCTTGGATCTTAGTTTCTTCATCATTGAAGTGATAGGATTTGGAGCCAGTGGTCTGCGTGGTCCCATTTTGCTTCAGAATTCTAATATTCTTAGATTCTAAATTGATTTTAACTTCTTATCTTTGGTACTTAGTGTGTGTCTTATGATACCCCTCCCCCCTTTTCCCTCAGCATTCCTCAGCATCTGCTTTATGGACTGTCCAGGAGTTAGACTTTTAAATTTCATGCTTTTTTTTAAAGGGCACATTAAAAGGTCTGGCCTTGTACAAAAGTATCACATATTACAAAGTTCATATGTAAAAGGAACTAAAAAGCTTGCTTTTGCTGTGGTTCTTAGGAAGGAGCACTTTCAAATATAGATGGCTTTATTTTTCCAGGACACAGCTTCGTGACTAGAGGCGACATGCTACTTGATAACCTGAATTTATTGCCATCAGTTTGCTGCTGCTGGTAATACAATGCTATCTGGCAACTGAGCTTATGGAATCTGATGCTTGGCTCACACAACAAAATGACTAAAAAGGACACCCTCTTAGTGTGCCTTTTTTTTGTACCCCAACTATGCAGTCCATCTGGCTGACTATTCCTCTGCTTTTAGTCATAGAGTCAGAAGCCACCAGCCAAATGACCAGCCATCCCAACAGATTTTCCCCTCCAATAACTCTGCTTCTCTCTCTCATCCCAGATATTTTCAGTTTTATCTCTTTTCATTTAAAGGGATGATTATATTTCTTAAAACTTTTCAGAATCTACTGGTCTTGTAAATAAAAGTATTCAATAATGTCACCAATGCTATGATAATTTGGAGTTCCAGCCTCTCTCCTGAACTCTGCATACTCTTCCTATTAGTATTTATTTGTAGACAGCTAACAGGCACCTTAAAAACAGTGTGGCGAAACCCACTTATTATAACCCTAGAGATGTTTTTCCTAAATTATTCTTAGTAACATTGTTGTATATCTTGTATCTAATCAGGAAACCCTGAAATTAGTCTCAGTTCTTCCTTTTTCCTATTACCCTGTATTTAGTTTGTCACTGGTCCAGTAAGCTTTATCTCTGATCTGTCCTTTCCTGTCCATCTCCACTTCCTGCGTGAGAGCCTTAGTAATCTCTCCGTGATTAGACCATCCTGGTAGCCTCCAAACTGGTCTCTCTGCCTCTAGACCTTCCCATCCAGATCTTCCTCTTACATTGCCACTAGTGACTCTTCTAGAACATCTGATCCTGTAATGATTTTGTTAAACACTTCATTTTGCCTACACATTAAATTCACATCATCTGTCTGGGTCTATCATCACTCTCCCCATCTGCCCTCTGTCTGTACATCTCACTTCTTGAAAGTGTCCAGACCTTCCTTGTGCTTTCCTGCCTTGTGTCTTTGCCCAGACATTTCCTCCAACCATGTCTTACTCCTTTGCTTGTTTATTTCAAGTCTCACTTTATATTGCTTCCCCCCCTCCAAGCCCTCCCTGACCTCTCCTTGGGCCTTTATCCTTGAAAACTTTATTATTCCATCAGTTTTGTTTCCATTGTCTTTGTGGAGGCACTTAGCACACTGGGTTACAAGTATTTGCCTGTTAGTGTATTTTGCACAATACAAGCTTAGAACACAAGCCTATCTGTGGCAGGGACTATTCTTTGCATTTCTGTATTCCTGGCACCTAGCATAGAGTTTGACCCCCCAGAAAACACTCAAATCATGTTGAATTGGATTCACATTTTGTGGTTCTTTGTGTTGGTTTCCATTTATTTGGCCTTTTTGCTCTTGATTTCTTAAACTAAATTTGTGTCAGAATCAAATAAGGAGTAGAACATAGTGGATGATAATAGTATCTGGGGTGGTTCTCTTTAAGGCTTAATGTGTTGTTTGGCAGTGCAAAATCTTCATTTTCTCACAAATCATCGGTATTTTCCTACAGACAGCCGCTGTACTGTATTAAGGAAACAAGACAGTGGCGATGTGCCGGTAAGTTACTTGATAACTTTAACTGTAGTGTGCTAATCTGTGTTAGCCAAAGGAAGAGAGGAGTACCCAGGCCAGTGTTTGTTTACATCACAGTGGCATTCTAGAACCAAATCTGGAGGATTTCTGGCTGATTTATGCTAATTTATTAGACAGTTAATACCAATCTTCCTCTTAGAGTGACAGTCAGCAAACTTGGAGGCTTAAATTGGCAGTGTCCATAAAGTTTTGCAACGAATAAATGTTAAATCTCAGAAATAGAGAAGGAGTTGTTGAATCATCTCCTGGCATAAAAATGAAAAGTTATCTGTAATGATTAAAATGTTAATGTTTTGCTCTGTAAGGAAAATAAAGAGACTTTGTTTTGAATGGCTCCAAACTGAGTTTAAGTTAAAATAATCCCAGAGTTTTTCTTAGTAGGTTGTGGCAGTTTTCAGACAGAAAGATGCTTATTTACTGATTTTTAGGATCAGGTCACCTGTACTTGAAATTTTGTCTTAATCTGCTGTTAAATACTGCCCAGCTAAGTATGGCAACACAGATAACACACCCGTGGGAAGTTAAATGTCTTTTAAGTCCACTGTGACCCCAGAGTTTGGCCAGGTGTAGAGTGTCTAGTTTAGCTTAGTAAAAGGAATGTCATTAGAACGCTAGTAGCATATAACTGGAATTACTCTAAAAGACTGATTAATTGCTTGAAATAACATAAACCTTCTTACAAATAAGTTTAAAATGTTGGAGCAATTTTAGTTATAACAGTCACAATTGAGCTTTCTCTTATGTTCTATTATAAATCATAACACTAGGGCTAACATACTAAATGTTATATTTGTTGAGCATTTTTGTTGTTTTTGTTACATATATTCAACTTATGGCTAAAACCAGTATGATATTTTTATTTTGAGCTTCATAATTGTTATTTGAGTTTTCATTGTTTTTTCCCCTCCATTTTTCCAGTTTAATTCTGCTAAGATAAAAAATAAAGGCAAGAAAAAGAAACCAAAAGATTCAAAGGTATATTTTCTGTATCAATTCTTGTATAAAGTAATTGAATATATAAATTAGAATTAACCAATTAGGGGGGATATTTAGAAGCATTTTGTAGAGAAAGATTTTTTTTGTTTTAAGATTTAATCTAAAATTTGCTCCAATCCAATGAGATAAATAGGGTCCTGTTTATCTTACGGTGGGTTCTCCTTGGCTGTCATATATGTGGGGACTCAGGAGGGCAGGAGTTGAGACAGGGAACAAATATTAGGGGAGGATGAGAGCAGCTGTTTGTAAGCTCCACTAAAACTTGTCTTTTTATCTTTGACATTTAAAATTTTTTGGAGCATTGAAAGCTACCTAAATGTTAATTTGGGCATATTTATGGCTGTTGAAACTTTTATTACTATGTGTTCCTATACATAAGAAAAATTTAGGTAAGTCATATATTGGCAGTTTGCATGCATATTTATATAAGTGTTCATCACTTTTAATGCTAATTTTTTTCATGGAATTTTAAGGTGGAAAATCATTTTCATTTTTCTGTCTTTTAAACTAGCCTATGTTAGTGGGGTCTGGAACAGCTTCAGTAACAACAAATAATGAGACTGTCACTTCAGGTGAAGACCATAAGTAAGTACAATTAAAATTTTTTGCTTCATTTTAACTCAAGTGTATTAACTCAGCAAGTGGTGTTAATTTAACATAAATTAAACTTGTGTTTTATTTCCCTAACTTCACTGTCTAAAGATGTGCATCTGTTATGACAACCTGGTGTGATCCATCTTGGTTGAATTTATAGCATGGCTTGTCTGCATTAAGAATTCATAAAAACTACATTAAAATCACTGGGCTAATGACATTTATTAGATCAGTTTGGGAGCTTACTATGTGCAAGATACTGTGGGAAAATCCTAGAAAATAGTCCTTAAAATGTTCAGTGAAAAGAGTGTCCTATTGATAATCACTAGAATTTTTGCTATAGTAGGATTGAGGAAGATGTTTCGGAAGCTGTATATGATGTTGTGTTTTTTGTTTTTTGTTTTTAAGATTTTATTTATTCATTTGAGACAGAGAGCACAAGCAGGGGGAGAGGCAGAGGGAGAGGGAGAAGCAAACTCTCTGCTGAGCAGGGAGCCTGACACAGGGCTCGATCCCAGGACCGTGGGATCAGGACCTGAGCCAAAGGCAGACGCTTAACCATCTGAGCCACCCAGGCGCCCCTGATGTTGCGGTTTAACCTTAGATATGAGCAATTTTCAGTTGTGTCTGGTTGTTGAAACTGAGTTTTCAGGAAACAAATAGACATAAGAAGAAATAAAAGTAGTGAGTAGCAGTGACCTTTTTATGTCATATTCCTTTATGGACTAGAAACCTACAATTTTTTTTTTCACATTTCTTAAAGGAGTTGTCATAACAGCTGCTTTCCCGCAGTCATTTTCATGGATTCTTTAAGTGGAGGAATTATTTTAAGTTAAAATAGTAATAGCCTATACTTAGATAACACTTATGTACCAGGTGCTATTCCATTAGCTTTACATATATAAACTCATTGAATCCACTCTTCCACCGTAAGAGGTACGTACTGTTATTATGTCCATTTTACAGATAAGGACGCTACTCATGCACAGTATCGTTGAATGGTATAGTTGAGTGATGCGCCCAAGAACCTGAAGCTTGTAAATAGCAGAGCCAAGGAATATAACCCAGGAATCTGGTTTTAGAACTCACACTGAAACTACCACATCTTTTTACAAATGCTAGAATCTTATATTTTAGGAAAAAAAAATCTTTTTATAATAAAATCCTGCATTTTTCTCTTTAACAAGTTACAATTAATGTAACATTGATACTTTTAAAACCAGGAGTTTCAGAAAATTTGCTCTTGGGACCAAGGGTAGGTACTTAATTAAAAGTGCTTACTCAGTGGTCAGGCAAAGATATATAATTGTGGAAGGGTAACTTTTCTACATTTAATTCTCTGGTAGTGGTTTTTTGCATTGTAAAGCTGAGTAATATGTTACTATCTTTACATTTATTTTAATTTAAATATTCTCTGGGTCACCTCACAAGTTTATGATTCACAAAATTGTTTTTTTTAATCAGCAGACGCAATTCAAATTCTGCAGGCCCATTTGTGGTACCTGACCACCTTCGGCAAGATGTAGAAGAATTTGAAGCTATCTATGAGCAGCACAATAGTGAATATGTTGTCCGTAATAAGAAGCTGTGGGACATTAACCCAAAACAAAAATGTTCAACTCTGTATGAGTAAGTAGTTTAACATGTCTACAAGTATGATTTTATACTGATGCTGCCAGTTAAAGATCTCAAATTGTTTGTGTCAATTGTGCTTATTAAAGGAATCATTTATTAGCTCACAAACCTGGGGAAGAAAAGTATTTTTACAGCTTTTGTCAGGTATTACACAGAGTTAACTGAGTATTTTTAACTATTAAATTTAGAATCCTAATGATTTATGATTATTATTGGTTTTGTCAGTTTGAACTGCTTAATATAGATATTTTCTATTTCTAAAACTGACCTGGTATATGCTGATAGGGCCCATAAAGTTTCCAGCCATAATCTTTTTTTTTAAGATATATTTATTTGAGTGAGAGAGAGAGAAAGAGACATATACACATGTGCATGGGTAGGGGGAGGGGCTGAGGGAGAGAATCTTCAAGCTGAGCGTGGAACCGGACGCCAGGCTCAGTCTCATGCCCCATGAGATCATGACCTGAGCCGAAACCAAGAGTTGGACACCTAACTGACTGAGCCGTCCAGGCGCCCCCCACCCAGCCATAATCTTTTATCATGAATTCCAAGGCATACAGTTCTCTTCCTTATCCTTAGTTTTGCTTTCCCAGGTTTCACTTACCCGCCGTCAATCGTGATCTAGAAGCCAATGGTCCTCCTTCTGACTTATTGTCAAAAGGTCATTAGTAACCTAACATTACATCACAGTGCCTACGTCACTCACCTCACTTCATCTCATCATGTAGGCATTTTATCATCTCCCATCATCACAAGAAGGGCAAGTGCAGTGCAATAAGATATTGTGAGAGAGAGACCACATTCACATGACTTTCATTGCAGTATACTGTAACTGTTCTATTTTATTATGAGTTACTGCTGTTAATTTCTTATTGCACCTAATTTATAACTTAAACTTTATCATAGGTGTGTGTGTAGGAACAAAACAGTATATATAGTGTTCTGTACTATCTGTGGTTTCAGGCATCCCTGGCGGTCTTGGAACGTATCTCTCATGGATAAGGGTGGAGTTACACATTTGACAAAGAGTAGTTATTGATTATTTGTTGATTATTTGATCTTACTCTTCCTTTGTTGATGGATGCGGATGTTTAGCGTCTCATAAATCCAGTGACAAGTTAATAAGTCAGAGTGGGGTGGATAAAATAATGGAGTAAAGAGTTCAGGAAAATCTAGGAAGCAGTTAACTGTTTTGAGCTTGGTATTATTAAGGTATTGCTGTCTTCCTTAAGAAAAATTGAGGGGTAAGACCTGCAGTAAAAAATTAATTTAAAAGCTAACTATTCTCCCAGAAAACCTGTCACTCATCCATAATTTAGTCATTCCTTCTGTTTTCCCCAGTTGCATTATTCCTATTCAGTCTAGTTATGCTCATAGGTCCCTCTTCATGGATTTTCTTTAGAGTTGAAATGCTGAGCAAATCATATTTCCAGAGAACTTTCCTGGATGACCATATGGAAACAGCTATAAAACTACACTAGTATTTCGTAAAATATGGTAGGCTTTGCTTCAGGCATCCAAAACTGAAGCTGAACTGTGTTGTTTTGAGGACCTTGCTTCTTAAAGAATTTATTACTATTATAAGTGGGAGGAAATTAAACAACTTCATGAGGAAAAAAAATAGGCTGAGTTGTATTTTGAGATAGAACTTAAAGTCATGAAGTTGCAGGAAGTTACACCTCAGAAACAGTTGTTTCTTTAAATTTTCAAAAGTAGACATGATGATGGGCTTAAGAATGATTTCTTTTAGGGGCTCCTGGCTGGTTCAATCAGAGGAGCGTGTGACTCTTGATCTCGGGGTTGTGAGTTCAAGCCCCATACTGGGTGTAGAAATTACTTAAATGAATAAATAAACAAAAACTCTGAAAAGAAAAAAAAAAGATTTATTTTAGTGGCCAGTGGATAAAAGAAAGAAAAATGAAACCAGTCAATTTTCTTTATGACAAGAGTGTAGAGTAGAAAAATTATTAGACAAGGAATCAAGAATATTGGGATAACTGCTATTAACTTTATCTTAAGTATTTCACCATGAAGTAGGTGATTAGACTGGTTGGAGTTTAATTGACCTAATGCCCTTCTAGTTCTAATATTTTATGATTCTAGATATTTGAAGCAAATTAAATTTCAGTGGGTAGTATTCTGCATTTAGCTTTTCCTAACACCTCATTAGTGGTGTTAATTAGTCGGCCAGCATTTATTAACCACTTGTGGTTAAGCCCTGTGGAAGATTGCAGAAAAAGTAGAAGATGCAGTCCTTTCATGCAGCTTGGAGAGCTAAATTGATCATTGGTCGGGTCACAGTGTATTGCAAATAAAATTACTCTGAAATAAGAATCATGAGCTTGTACAAAACAGTGATTTTTTCAAAGGACCAGAGCTATAATACTAGGGTGGGGATGCCTTCTGAAATGTTTTCTCCATCCTTATCCCTTGCCCCTGTGCCAGCAGTGACATGTAATGGTACTATGGTTGGGATGACCAACCATGACCATTTCAGACACTAATAGTCATCATCCAATTATGAAAATATATGTACATATATACATAACATAAGAACTATTAACTATCTCTGATATAATTAGCTTTTTTTTTTTTTTTTTAACTCCTGTCATGTGCAGTGTGCCTCGTTTTTGCCTCTGGTCCTGAAGTGCAGAGTCTGAGACTTTGAACGAGAGCAGGCGATGATGAGAGAGGAGATGCATCTTGTGTAACTTGGCAGAAGCTGAGTCAGCCTCACCATTTCAGTTGTTGTCTAGCATCTTTCATTAGAGCTTTGACCTCTTTCATTCATGTCTGCTAAATAGCCACATCAGTACCACTGTTGAGTGTGCATTGATGGATGGATTCTAACCCCTATAAAACACTGGATTATTAAGAAATCATATTTATGCTATTTTGGATCCACTGTTTATCTTACAGAGATGATTTTTCAAGGCTAGAAAAGATGTATAAATAGAGTTAAAGTTCATTTTGTGTTGCATTTCAAATAATAGTGACTATAAAAATTTTATTCACAATATGGTTATAATACTGTTTCTCTTTGGGCTAGGGACCCGTGTTAAATTTTGTTCTGCTTCAGTGTTTGAAAAATTCATTGCTACTTAGCCAGTAGAAAAAATGTGGAGGCTCTAATTCTTTGAAAAAAAAATTTTCTGATTGTAAAAGTAATAATATAAATTACTATGGAATTTTTTTAAATAAAGGAAAAATAAAAATTATGAGTAATTCTATCACCCAGATATAATCACAGTTAATTTTGGTGTATATCCTTTCAGGCTTTTAAAATGTAGATAGATGTATAAAACACAGGTTTTAAAATTTATAAACTGTGATCTTACTATACACTCAGCTTTGTCATAACCTTTTTCACTCAAAATGCATAGTGAGCATTTTTTCATATCCTGACTCTTCTTCAAGAACATGACTTTTATTAGTTGCTTGGTAATCATCACAGATCTGCACTATCATTTACATTGCTAGCTATTGAAAAGCTTATTGCTGGGGCCCCTGGGTGGCTCAGTCGGTTAAGCGTCTGCCTTCGGCTCAGGTCATGATCCCAGCATCCTGGGATCGAGCCCTGCATCGGGCTCCCTGCTTAGCGGGCAGCCTGCTTCTCCCTCTCCCTCTGCCTGCCGCTCTGCCTACTTGTGCTCTCTCTGTCAAATAAATTAAAAAAAAAAAAATCTTTAAAAACAAAGAAAAAAAGAAAAGTTCATTGCTGAATTAGAGTGGTTTCCTTGAACGTGGACTCTGTTTTTTAGTTATCCCATTTTGGATTTAAGTGTTTTGATCCAGGTGGGAAAGCTTTGTTTTTCAATGATTCTCTTTAGTATTCATCATGGAGAGCAAAAAGTAAATACACATACACCATTCATGAATTATTCTGCTGTTGCTTAATGGCAGCTAAATATCAAATGGAAGGGTATCTCTCTTCAGAGAGATGGTAGAGCCAAAGTTACGCCAGTCAGCCAAAATCCTCAACAAGAGTTCCTGTTTCTGAGACTACAGTGATTTCTTTTTACCTTACTCTCCTTCAAACCCTTCTGCTTTTAGAGATTTCTCATTAAAAACGAAGCTTGAGGGGCACCTGCGTGGCTCAGTTGGTTAAGCAGCCAACTCTTGATTTCGGCTTAGGTCATGATCTCAGAGTCCTGAGATTGAGCCTCGTATCCTCGGGGAGTCTCCTTGAAGACTTCTCTCCCTCTCCCTCTGATCCCTCCCCTCGAGTTCACTCTTGCCGTGTGCGTGCGTTCTCTCTCTCTTTTTAAAATAAATAAAATCTTAAAAAAATAAAAATGAAGTTTGATGGGAATCTTAAAGTGAAAACAAATCTAACCTGTTACCTTGCAAAAACAATATGTATTGGGGAGTTTCAATTATAGAGATTATTCTAAGGGGAAAGTAGTCATCGAAAAACACTAAGTATTTAGAGCAGCACTGCTGACGAAAAGTAGTGGCATTTCGTCTTCAGCCTTCAGAGTATCAGTTACTTTGAATAGAGGTTAATCATTTGTAAAAATAGTCCTATGCCTTTATCTCTAGCAGCATCTGTACATAGAGGTTTCTTTTGCTTCAAAAAAGTGTTGTTTTTACCTTCCCCTAAATAAGTTGTCTTTCTGGTTAGTGTTAATTTACTAAAAAAGTCCCTTTGGAGATTTTTGCTCTTGGAAAAGCAAGTCTTTTTGGTGGTGTGTGTTACGTGTCTTTCTTGCTAGTTAATGCCACTGTTACAGACTGTATACCAAATTCAAATGAAGAGTAAGGCTTTTTGAGGCTGACACAAGAATGGGAAAAAAAATAGCCCCAGAACTGGAGGGAGCCCCAATCCAGAATTGGAAGTAGATTAAGGGATCGCCCCATTACTGTGTGTCTGATCCTGTACTATACTGGTTTATTGGTGAGACGGGATTAATTTCAGTACCTCTAAATCATTGCCTATTCTTAAACAGAAAAATGTTAAGATTACTAGATGCAAATTCCATAGGATTTTAGTGAAATTTGATTTATTCTCATTTGACATTCTTGTTACTGATATTCTTGTATAATAAATTTTCTTTTCATTACTTTTAAAATAGATTATGTAATTATATAATTGAAATTTATAAAATAACTTTTTAATCCCTTTCTTTTCAAAAAAAATTTTTAAGGATTATTTTCCAAGGGGTAAACAAAATTTTGCTTTTAGAGTATCATTCATTGCAATTAGCTTTTGTCAGATTTAATATGAATATAATATGTTGGGGAGCTGTTGAGATCAGTTGGAATTGAAATGGTATTTTGCTTTGGAAGAATTTTGGGGAATATATTTTTTTCAAATGAACATGTATAAGGGGCGCCTGGGTGGCTCAGTTGGTTAAGCGACTGCCTTCGGCTCAGGTCATGATCCTGGAGTCCCGGGATCGAGTCCCGCATCGGGCTCCCTGCTCGGCAGGGAGTCTGCTTCTCCCTCTGACCCTCTTCCCTCTCGTGCTCTCTCTCTCTCATTCTCTCTCTCTCAAATAAATAAATAAAATCTTTAAAAAAAAAAAAAAAAAAAGAACATGTATAAGTACTTCCTTATAACATGTAAACATAATTTTTTTTCCAAGTTATTTCTCTCAGTTGTTGGAGGAGCATGGTCCATTGGACATGAGTAATAAAATGTTCTCTGAAGAATATGAATTCTTCCCAGAAGAAACTCGACAGATACTAGAAAAAGCCGGAGGTTTGAAATCTTTTCTCCTGGGATGTCCTCGTTTTGTTGTGATTGACAACTGTATTGCATTGAAGAAAGTTGCATTGCGGCTCAAGAAGAAGAGAAAGAAGAAAAACATTAAGACAAAAGTGGAAGAAATTTCAAAAACAGGGGAGTATTTACGAGTTAAACTACCACTGAATCCATCTGCTAGGGAATTTAAACCAGATGTAAAATCCAAACCAGTGTCTGATTTATCTTCAGCAGCAGCTTCTGAGGATGTGAAGCCCAAACCTATAGCTGCGAATTCTCCCAGACCAACCTGTGAGGCTGTGAAGCCGAAACCAGTGTCTGATAATTCTTCTAGATCAGTTTCTGAGGATGAGAAGCCCAAAGAGGTCTCTTCTGATCCTCCCAAACCAGTATCCGAGGATGCAGGTCACAAGGGAGGATCCTCTAATTCTCCCAAACCAGCTTCTGAGGATGTGAAACCAACCTACTGGACTCAGCCCCATTTGGTCACAGGATACTGTACATACCTCCCCTTTCGGGGGTTTGACATTACCCAGACACCACCAACATATATAAATGTGTTACCGAGTGTGCCCCAGTACACTAACATTTACACACCTCTGGCCGTTTCTTCTGAGTATCAGCTGCAAAGATCAGTGCCAGTGGTGCCATCTTTTATAGCCAGTGACGGACCAGATGAAAGTGCTGTGTGTTTTGAGGGTCATCATTTGAATGCTGAGGATGCCCCTGATAACCAGATTGCCCCGAAAACACAGATCCTTCAGGACTCTCTGGAAGTATCAGTAAAGACACAGTGCAGCACAGATGGTGCTGATAAAGCCCTTAGTGAGTCTAACAGATATGATGGTCACTGTGGAAATTCTGCCAACAAGTGGGAAGTAAATCCAGAAAATACCAATGAAGTAACAAATATTCCACATACACAAGTGGTTGCCATACAGGTAAGACTTAAATAGAAAAAAGTCATCTTAATACTGAAGTTAAATTTTCCTTCTCATCTTTCATTGCCATTATATTTACAAAAATTCTTTTAAATAATTTATAATGGTTATGAAATCTCTTGCCTGGAAATGTTTTTAAAAATATGAACCCTTTTGTAGGGCATGATAGGTAATCCAGAAAGAATTTTTGGGTCTAGTAAATAATATACTTCTTCCCTAACCAAGTTTTCTACCAGTTGAGAAATAAGATAGAGGAATCAGCAGATGGAGCCAAAACATCACCTTACTAATTAATAATGGCGCCATAAGGATGATGTGGTTTGTTTCTGTAGCACTTGGATGTTCTAGTATTGAAGCCCAACACTGAAGCACCAGCTCACCCACCCAGTTATAGTAGTGCCGGACCCAGGAAGCCTCCCATCTTGGGGTGCTTGCCCCACAAGAGTTACTGCATGGAGAATGAAAGGAAAAGTGCTTTTTGCACAGGCAGCCCAAAAAAGCAGAGTCTGGGCTTTATGTGTGACCAGTTTCTCCTACCAAAATAGGGGAGGAATGGGAGAGTTAAAAACAAAACAAAATAACAGGTGGAGAGAAATGAGAGGTGCAAATAAAAGTTCCTAACAAGCATAGAATAAATTGACGTTCTCCCATAGTTCACTCTATAGGGTTTGAATTCATTAACTCCTTGTTGGATTATCCCCCTCCTCATTATATTTTCTGTTTTCTAAGAAAGCTTTGAAAGAACATTTTAAGGGGCACCTGGGTGGCTCAGTCGGTTAAGCATCTGCTTTCGGCTCAGGTCATGATCCCAGGGTCCTGGGATGGAGCCCTGCGTCGGGCTCCCTGCTCGGCAGGGAGTCTAGTTCTCCCTGTGCTCCTCCCCCTGCTCGTGCTCTCTCTCTCTCTCTCTCGCACTCTCTCTCACTGTCTCTCTCAAATAAAATCTTAAAGAACTTAAGAGTAATGAACCAAAGTCATTTTTATTTTTACTAATTCTATATGATAGCTCTCTCCTAATACAAGTATTTGTAGAAAGCATACAACATTATTAAAATTGTCAAAAAGAAAAACCTTGAAAAAATTGTGGGCATGCCTTAAAATGTCATTACATGATGGATTTATTTTACTAGAGCAACTGAGATAAATTTAAGTGTTTGTTTTGCCCCAAAGGTGTCTTGGAATATAAGACATCAAGAAGTCAATACTGAGCCATATGATCCTTTTGAGGCACAACAGGTAAGTCAGAATGAATTATCATGATGTTTCCCTTGTAAATTTTCATCTGCCTTTTATTCTCCTCTGTTTATTTTAAGAGACTGTTCAGAACAAGACCAGAAATAGGCGTTTTAAACTATTTTTAATAGATAATTTTGTAATTTACCTTTAGGGAGATATTTTACAGATTGAGAAGGAGTACCAGGTTTTACAAGAGCAGCTTAAGGAGGCATGCGAAAATTATGAGCAGAGAAAACTTGAGGGCTCAGAAGAGACCAGGGACCTGGAAGAAAAGTTGAAAAGGAACCTAGAAGAAAACAAGGTAATCCTCTCTGAAACTTCGCTGTAGTAGCATGTGGCATGATCAGGACCATTGTTGGCTGAACAAAGGATTTTTTTCTTAATGCCTATTTAAATTTCTCTATGACATATTAAAGTGGCAGTGTTTTTGCAGTGTTTTAGAACCTCTACATGTTGCCATTTAAGAAGAGGGCTGTGAATCTGGGTTTTCATTTATTTTTAGTTCAGTTTATTTCATTAACTAAACCTGTTTTCTGGTGACTAAATTTTGCATTAATCCTTGTTTATATTGAGAGGCAGTATAGCATTAGTAGTCCATAGTGTGAGCCTTGGGGTCAGACCAACTAGGTTCAGATGTAAGCTGAGTCCCATACTAGTACTCATCTGGGGTAAGTTAGCTAACTTCTTTGTGCTCTAGTTTCTTATTTGGAAAATTTGGGTGATAATAGCTCCCATTTCTTGGGATTAGATTAATACTTGTAAAGTACTTAAAACTGCCTGGTGCATAATAGGGGCTCTGTAAGTATTGCCTGCCACTGTTACTACTATTCCTACTACTGTCTTCATCTTACTGTTAAGGAAGTATAAGAATAACACATGGATATTAAAAAAAAAAAAAAAAAGAATAACACATGGAGCTTTAGGCATATTAGATCTGTAAAATCACTTAGACCATCTTGTTTGAGTCTGTTGATCTTGAGTTCCATTAGCTAAGATGGATTACAGTTACATGTAACTGGCTATTGGAGTAATACTAATTAGTGGCAAGGCCAGATTGAATTGGTAGGGAAAGGAATTATAGATGTAAGGGAATCATAGTGTGTTTCTTTTTTAAAACTGAGGTCTTCTGTACAGATGTAACAAAGGGATGTTAGTTAATTTAAGGAAAGAAGGATTTACACTTACTCTGGTAAGCATTGTCTAACATACAGGATTGTTGATTCACTGTCTTGTATAACTGAAACTAATACAACATTGCATGTCAACTACACTTAAGTTAAAAACAAAAAAAAGAAGAATTTGTTCCAGAAGTCTGGATCAGTAGCTGGGGTACCATATTAAATAGAAGAAAATTTGCTTAGGTTGGACCTTCATCAGGAAATTCATTTATTGAGATTTAAGTACACCCGGCAGAAAAGGGTCAGTTTGTAAAGGTAACTGTTATTCCATTTCTATTATAATAGTTATAGCATTCCTGTTATAACTTGTTTTCACTTGGGATGGAACTGGGGAGATTTGAAGGATGAGAGGAATTAGAAGGAACCAGACTTTCTGGTCAGTTCCCTGGTTGAATGAGATCTTCCTAATTGGGAGAGGAGAAAATGAGCAAAAATAAAACTCTGCACAGTGACTCATAGAACACTAATTTGAATTAGCTGCCTGGAGGGCTTAACAAAATAAAATATTTTTATAAACTTTCTATTGCCTCAGTAAATTCAGTTTTACTAAACCCGTATAAGAATGCCTATGGCTGCCCAATTAAGTGAGGAGAGCAGATTTTCAGACTGCCACTGAAGGTGGGCATCTGATGAGTGAGGTTTCCCTCTCTCTGGCAAAGGCTTGTCCAACTTTATAAACTGCTGGTCTGAGTGGGTCCTGTATTTGTGCAGTTTATCAAGGCATCTTTGTACACTTGATCAAGAAATTCGCAGTTAATCAGGCGCCCAGGGAGGGGGCCTGCTAGGGAGCCACAGCTCTGACTGGGACTGGCCTTCTGATGCACTTTTTTTTTTTTTTTTACCTTCACTGAGGCTCTGGGTCTGCTTTTAGGTGGTGGTTCTTAAGAGTGTAGTCAGTTTGTTTTTTAAAATAGCCATTATTTAGTCCCCAAATTTCAGACCTGTTGGGTTGTTAGACTTCCCATGTAAATTGTAGACCCATTTCCTATCATGATAAGTTGCTCATCTGAGTTTTTAGGTGGTTGTCCACACCGGAGCAGATGAGATGTAGCTGTGGCCATTTCTTTTTAATCATGATTATGTTCATAATTAGCTTGTGGAGGAATCTTATAAACATAAAAAGAAATTTTTGGCTTTTATTGATCTTTCCCTGGCCTTTGACTCTCTAGTCCCTGAGGTTACCAGCTAATACTTTTACTTGAAAATAGCTTGATACTACATAATGAATGTATTAGATGCAATACCCTTTCATACTGTAGAGAAGAGATAGGCAAGCCCAGGCCTCGGTCAGGCTGCCTAGGTTGAACTACAGCACTACCATCCAATACCTTTGTGGCCTTAGTTTACTCAATCTCTTCTACCCTCAGTTTCCTCATTAGTAATAAAATCTCTGCTTCATAGGTTTGTGAGGACTCACAGCGATGGTTGGACAAGGGTGGGTGGGGTTGTCCAGAGATACTAAGTATAGTAGAAGGAAGAATTGTCCCACTTAAAATGACACTCATACCCCTCCTGAGAAAAACTGTTTACAAAGCAGTTAAAGAGTGCTTAGCACATAAAAGCGTCAATAAAAATCTGAGCTAGCTATTTTATATAGCTAATGGGGTTTCATTATTATGAGCTAGGAATGGCCTTAATAGACAATTAGGCCAGTTATCTATTCTGTCAGAGGAGAATACCTGTCTAAAGCCAGAGTGTCCTGTTGTTTTTAATGTACCTCCAATTTGTAACTGGCAGGTTGTAACTGATTGCAGTATTGCTCAAGGGCGTATGTTCTTTTTAGTTTATTAAGATAAAATTTACCATTTTAACCATTACAAAGTCTGTAATTCAGTGGTTTTCAGTAGACTGACAATGTTGTATGACCATTACCACTGCCTTGTCCCAGAACCATTTCATAGCACAAAAAAGAAACCCTGTACCCATTAAGCAATCACTTCTCATCTCTCCTAGGACATGTGTTCTCAAGGTGCTTTAATGAGATTTTCTTTTTTTTTTTTTAAAGATTTTATTTATTTATTTGAGAGAGAGAGAATGAGAGAGAGAGAGCACGAGAGGGAAGAGGGTCAGAGGGAGAAGCAGACTCCCTGCCGAGCAGGGAGCCCGATGCGGGACTCGATCCCGGGACTCCAGGATCATGACCTGAGCTGAAGGCAGTCGCTTAACCAACTGAGCCACCCAGGCGCCCTAATGAGATTTTCTTATAGCTGAGATGGGTATTTAAGTTGACTTTGACTCCTAAAACACAGTCAAAATAATTTTGGCCTAGAATAATTTATGGAGAAGAATTTTGGAACTTTGTCCTATTTTTATATTAAAACAGAATCTTGGGCCCTGCCTGCCAAAAATTTCTCAGCCCACATCTGTGTAGCGGTGGGGTTTTCCTATTCAGTCACAATCTTTGCCAAGTTCAGCCATTTTTAATCTAACATTTATGGAGCTCATTATGCGCCATACTCAACTGTAAATTTTTTACATGAATTGTTTAATCTCAATCATAGTATACTAATGCTATAGTATAGTACACGAGTATTGTCTCCATTTTACTGTTAAGGAAATGAAGGCAGGAGCAGCTAATGCAACTTGCTCGAAGTCATACCAGTACTAAGTGGCAGAACAGTTAATGAGTGTCAGGCTCTAGATCCCTTGCTTTTGTCCTCCCTTAAGAGAATGTCAGTTCCACAACGAGTTGAAAAATATTTCTCAGCACTTCATGAGGAGGATAGGGGTATCAGTTAATTGCTGTCATATAATAATGCTGAGTAACAACCACCTACAAAACCTCAGTGACATAGAACAGTAAACATCAAGTTTGTGAGTCTGTGGGTTAGTTTATCCCAGTTGGACTTGGCTGGACTGTTTCACCTTTGGGTCAGCTGGGGCTCTGTTCTTGGCTGTGCTTGCTCACATATGTGGGGTCACCATATTCTGTGTCCATCTACATCAGAGGACATTAGGCCTGCACATTCTGTGAAGATTGTTGCTTGATTTTTTGCTAGTATGTTGTTGAGGATATTATCCATTATTTCATTGGACAAAATTTATTGGATGCTCCCCTATAAAGAAGACATACAAATGGCCAACAGACACATGAAAAAATGCTCAACATCACTCGGCATCAGGGAAGTACAAATCAAAACCACAATGAGATACCACCTCACACCAGTCAGAATGGCTAAAATTAACAACTCAGAAAACAACAGATGTTGGCAAGGATTCATAAAAAGGGAAACCCTCTTACACTGTTGGTGGGAATGCAATCTGGTGAAGACACTTTGGAAAAACGGTAGGGAGGTTCTTCAGAAAGTTAAAAATGGAGCTACCCTACTACCCAGCAATTGCACTACTAGGTATTTATCCAAAGGATACAAATGTAGTAATTCGAAGGGGCACATGCACTCCAGTATTTATAGCAGCAATATCCACAGTAGCCAAACAATGGAAAGAGCCTAGATGTCCATTGACGAATGGATAAAGAAGATAGGGTGTGTGTGTGTTTGTGTGTAATGGAATATTCCTCAGCCATTAAAAAGAAAGAAATCTTGCCATTTGCAACAACATGGTTAGAGCTAGAGGGTATTATGCTAAGTGAAATAAGTCAGTCAGAGAAAGACAAATACCGTATGATCTCGTATGTGGACCTTAACAGATGAACAAAGGGGAAGGGAAGGAAAAATAAAATAAATCGGAGAGGGAGACAAACCATAAGAGACTCTTAACTATAGAGGCCAAACTGAGGGTTGCTGGAGGGGAGGTGGGGGGGGATGGGGTAACTGGGTGATGGGCATTAAGGAGGGCACATGATGGAATGAGCACTGGGTGTTGTATGCAACTGATGAATCACTAAATTCTACCTCTGAAACTAATAATACAGTATATGTTAACTAAATTGAATTTAAATAAAGAATTAAAAAAAAAAAAGAATAAGCCAAGCTCTGTGCTGGTCTTCTGGGACTTTTATGCAGCATCCTCTTTATGAGACCCTAAGAAGTCATTTCTCTCTGCTTTCACTACCTGGGCTTCTTTGTGCAGCAGATTTGTTTTTATTTTGTGGGTATAGCTCACTGTATTTCCTCTGACTTTGTTTGCCAGGAAAGTTTTAAGCTATTTCTAAAGAATGGTTAGGGCCTTATGCCACTCATTTTTTTTAAAGATCTTTATTTATTTTAAAGAGAGGGAGAGTGCATGCACACAGGCAAGTGGTGGAGAGGGCAGGGGGAAGGGAAAGAGAATCTTCAGCAGACTCCACACTTAGCACGGAGCTGGGACGCGGAGCTCAGTCCCACAAACCCAAGATAATGACCTGAGCTGAAACCAAGAGTCGACCACCCATCCGACTGAGCCACCCAGGCTCTCCATGCCATTCATTTTTATATTGCTCTCACTTCTAGTTCTATATTACCATTTTTATCTTTTTATTCTGTTTTCTTTACCTACTTCACAATCTTTCTATTTTGTCTTTTTTTTTAAAAGATTTTATTTATTTGAGAGAGAGAGATCACCAGCAGCGGGGAGGGGTAGAGGGAGAAGCAGACTGCCTGCTGAGCAGGGAACCTGACGCAGGGCTCCATCCCAGGACCCTGGGATCATGACCTGAGCTGAAGGCAGACGCTTAACCAACTGAGCCACCCAGGTGCCCCTCTTTTGTCTTTTTAAACTATATGTATATTATAGATACATATAATACACACATATATACAGTAAAGGGTACCTCAGTTGTTTATTTTGGAACACAGTTGAGGTTTAAGAAAAAGAGGTATGGAAACCAGATGTTTTCTAATTAAGAAAAAAAGCCATCAGAAACCGTTTATGTCAATAAGCTGTGCATATAGAAGATAGAGTTGTGTATAGTTTGTTTTTTCTTTTATTCTAGTGTTTCAAAGAAAAGGATTCAGATCCTTCTCTTTCATGTAGTCAGAGGCAGGCGCTGACAGCTGACCTAGTTAGCATTGTGAGGCAGCTGTGTCATTAAAGGGTGGTTAGTTCAAACAGCAGATGAACTTATGTAGCATCTTCTGTGGCTGAGCTGTGTGTGTGTGTGTGTGTGTGTGTGTGTGTAATACTTTGTGCCTTTTGATACTGAACTCCTTTTGTTACTTGTTGCCAAGTAGGTTCTTATGCCCCAGTATAACCTTGTGGTTACACATCATCTCCTGGCCAAGGGGCTAAATCTGTGGTGAAATCATTGGCTCAGAATGGAAGCACAGGATGGGTGAGATACAAGGTTGGCTTGGTTACCAGCAGCAGGGCTTGCATATGGACATTGGTCATGGTAGTAGAAGTGAACCAGGTGCAATACAGGATTTTGTAAGTAGAGTAGACATGGTGGTCACCTCAGTGACAGTAATGATTCAGTGATTCACGGTGTAGCAGCAAGGAAAATGTGAGTAAAACTGTCCCCATGCTAGAGGGAATGTCATTGAAACGTCATTGAACTTCTGCTGCCTAAAAACAGTTGGCCTATGCATCTCAAAGCCAATGAAATCAACCCTACCCCTGTGGTAGGGCTTGGAAGTCTTTAAGGACCTGGACTGTTAGCAAATCTGTCACCCAGGAACATCACAAACCTTGGCGTCTAAAGCTTAAGAGGGAGAAATGTCCTTCCTTTAAGTCGGTGTTGTCTTTGACTGGAAGACCATCACTTCCCACAGAGTCTGTGTAGGTTGGCTTCAGGTACACCATCCTCTTTGAGGGAGGAGGCCCCCAGTTTCTGTTTCTGAACCTATACCCCCAGTAACCTGGTCACATTCTCAGCAGTTGTTGATATTATTAGAATTTCAAACTGGAAAATATTACAATTTAAACTTGTTTCTTGTAAATACTGCTCTATTTCCTGATTCACATATTATTAGAAATGACATTCTACTTAAAAATGACGTGTATTTACAAGCTTGTGCCCCACCTATACCTCTGCCAGCACTAAATGGATGACACTTTGAAAAATGACATAAAACTTTGAGAGAATGTATAGGTTCAGAAGAAGTTTCAGAAAGCAGCACCTTCATAAGAAAGCTAACAAGGAAGGCTGGGTCTCACGTGGTGTTTTACATAATCATCTGGGGAAGGGTAACTACCCCTGCTTCAGAATACAGGTTTTCACTTCTGTTTGTCACACTGCCTGAAATTCTGGTGGGTATCTCGACCCAAAGGCCCCTGGGACCAGGCCAGAAACACCACATTTATATTCTAAAAAGCAAACAACTATTGGACTTGCCAAACGTATGCAGACTACCTCTAGATTAGAGAATCACTCTGGCGGAAGAGTGAAGTGTGAACACTTCTAGGCAAGCTGAGGGGGTTCTTCAGAATCCCTTAGTGCAGTCAGGTGCTCGGAATGCTGAGAGACATGAAGGAGAGGAGAGATGTTTAAAGTATACGTTTGGAAGGTGGGCATGCCCTGGGTCAGGGGTGCTTAAATGAGGGGTCAGGTGAAGCTTGAGGGTGTGGCAGGAGAACGGTCCTTGGAGGACGAAATGAATGCCAAAAAGAAGAGGGAAGCTACTGGAGATAGACATGAATCTTTTCAAGCAGGTTTCAGAGGAAATTCTGAACTTTCCTCTTTGCCTTCCCTTGCACCACATCTCTTTCCCCAGCACCCAGGGTAAGACTGTGTCTTATACAGTCAGATAGACTCTTCATGGTCTGGGGACTTGCCCTGTTAACTCTGTAGCCCTTCTTGTATCCGGTTTACCATTGTAAGCAGGAGCTTCCTGGAAGGAACTGGTGGACGTTTAACAGACATTTCTAACACGGCTTTTCATGGGGAAATGCATTCTAAGTTACAACCAACCAAGTGTTCAGCAGACTTTTGGATAGAGTGGGAGTTGCCCATATTGGGAAAGTCTGTTTTGAGGAGCAAAACACACCTGACTTGATCATGTGCTAATCTGTGCCTGTTGTGTAGAGAAACATGACTTAGAAGCATGTTCCTCTCTAACTGGTTTTGTTGAAAGCTGTTTGAATTCAGTATTTTTATTCCTTTGATATCTAGTCTCTGTCAAACACTTGTAAATTTCTGCTCTGTCCCATCAAAATGACTGCAGGGTCAAAGTTATGGAGTTCTCACATATTTTATTGTTTATTCATAGATTTATTTAGACATCCGAAGCTAGGTTAACATCTCTGTTTTCATGTCCTAGCCTAGTACATCTTCTGTGCTCTCCTTTTTACTTAATGGGATTTTTAGCTATTCATTGAAAGTAGAAACCTATCTTTAATTCTGTAATCTTCTGCTTTGTTTTATATCCTACTTAGACACATGGTCTCTTCTCCGTCCCCTTCTCTAAAGTTTCCTCTATTTCTTTTTATCATCCCTAATGTTACCACCTCATCCTTATTGTCTCTCACTTGGGCTACTGCAGTGAGATTTTAAGAGATTTTACCTTCGGGGACCTGGGTGGCTCAGTCAGTTAAGCATCCAGCTAATGATTTCGACTCAGGTCATGATCTTGGGGTTATGGGATCCAGCTCATGTCTGGTCTCCGTGATCAGCGCTGAGTCTGCTTAAGATTCTTTTTCTCCCTCTGCTCCTCCCCACACTCATGCGCTCTCTCTCTCTCTATTCCAAATAAATAAATAACTAAATAAATATCTTTTTTAAGAAAGATTCTACCTTCTTCTACCTAGAGTTTTTAATTAAGGGTTACAATTCATATTGAGCTATGAAATCAGTTTAATGATGGTGACTGGAATTGTTTTTAGTAATTGAAAGAATAGAAATATCAGAAAGCATCTCAAAAAGTAAAGGCAATTCTCTTTCAGTTGTGTGTGTGTACATACATACCTACGTATATTATGTACACATGCTATGGATCGTTATTAAAATGTATTTGTTATTTTGGGTCACAATCAAGAAAATGTGAAGGCCACTGTTTTGGTCTAACGCTTTCACATGCCTTCACCCAATCCTAATCCATCTCTGTGTCTTTCAGAGCTATTTTTCCAAAACCAGAATCTCATCATCTCATTGCCCTGCTTGAGTCTTCACTGGCTCCCTGTGCTCTACAGGACAAAATCCACCCTCCTTATCATGGCTTACAAGACCTTTCATAATTTGAACCCAAAGCATCTTGGGGTACCATTCTCCCTGCCCTGCCTTCCATATGTCCACCTTGTATCCCAGCCACATAATAGTGCCTCTTGCTTTTGTTCAGACATGCCATACTCTTTTATCCTTCTCCCTTGCCATTCCCACTGCTTGGAATCCGCTCTCCACATGGCATCTCATCTTTTTTTTTTTTTTTTAAGATTTATTTATTTATTTTAGAGCAGGAAGGAGGAGCAGAGGGACAGGGAGAGAGAATCTCAAGCAGACTCCCCGCTGAGCATGGAGCCTGACTCAGGGCTTAATGTCATGACCCTGAGATCAGACCTGAGCTGAAACCAAGAGTCAGATGCTTAACCGACTAAGCCACCAGATGCCCCTGCCATCTCATCTTTAAAGACAAAAATCAGAAATCACTGATTTTGAGAAACCCTTTTCCAGTACCATAGAGTCTGTCATGCCTCTGTGCCTTTTTATTTGACAGCCTCCCCACACCAGCCTGATCAGTGAGAGTAGGTGAGGCCCAGAGCTGTGTGTGTTCTGCTAAACTGGAGTCATCGATTAAGCTAACACCACCACAGTTCTGGTCTTTGGGACTCTTTTTTTTTTTTTAAGTAAATCTTCCTGTTTATTTAAGAACTTTCTAAACATGTCTTTAGATCTCAAAGACAGAATTAGATTGGTTCCTTGAAGATTTGGAAAAGGAAATAAAAAAATGGCAACACGAGAAAAAAGAAATCCAAGAAAGTCTGAAAGCACTAACAAAGAAAATGAGAAAGGTTTTAAATGCCAGCGAGAGGTAAGTAACAACTGAAAGGCAATGATTTTTATTGCTTTTGGGGGGGCGGGTGTTGTTAACATTTTTGATACTCAGTTTCAGACTATGTCAGGTAAAGAACAAACTTAAATATTGTTTTCATCTCATTTTAGAGAACATTCAGTGGAGAATTATCTTACCTAAAACTTTTCCTAAATCTACCCTGTTGACAGATAAAGTGGGACTTTGAATCAGCAAAGAACTGATTTCCTTCTAGTTGGACACCACCCCTTACTGTGAACATTACCTTTGACCCATTTTTTCCTTTTCTGTAAAGTGAGGGGCTTGGTCTAAATCTAAGTTTCTTTCCTGCACTAGGATTCTGTGGTGATTATTTATCATTACTTTCATCTTGAATCTTTAAATTATTAAAATTCGGTCTTGTGGTATGAAGCATTTGGTAATAAATACATACAGGTAATACAGTTGTCGGATGGGCCACGTTTGTTTTGAGATTCTCTGTGATCCATTCCTAACCCCTCTCTTCCCTAAAAATTGATATGTCATATGATTCCCCAGCTTAATTGTTACCTACTACCATGTAACAAAACACCCAAACTTGGTGGCTTAAATTAACAGCCATTTTTTTTTATCCTGATCTTGGAACTTGGGCTGAGTTCCACTGGGCTATTAGGCTGGTCTTGCCAGTGGTTCCTCATGTGGCTGGGAGTTGGCTGAAGGCTAGGTGCAGCTGGTATGTCCTGGCCTTTTCTCTCCGTGTAGTTTCAGGGTTGCTCCCTTTCCATGTGACTTTTATCTATATGGTCTCTCCATGTGGCATTTGGTCTCCAGCATGGTAGACAGACTCCTTATGTGGTACCAAAGGGCTTCAAGGGTACAGGAGTGGAAGCTGCCATGTCTTCTGAAGGTCTGGGCCCAGAGCTGTCAGAGCATCACTTCCACCACATTCTGTTGTTTAAAGCAAGTGGCAGGTCTACTTTAGATTTAAGGGCATGAAGAATGGGAGGCATGGTTCACTCGGGGCTGCACTACCACACTCACCATTCAGGACATTTGTGCTTTTTCCATCCTTTGCCATGCCATATGATCAGACGGCTTTTATTATGAGTCTTGCTAGCATTACATTTGGGCAGTTTTTAGGTAGTCCTTAAAAGAATGATGACATATACAACACTGCCTATGGCACGTCGTTTTGAGTATGCTCAAAGTAGAGTAGTTCTGTCAGAACACATTTACGGAAATGATAAAACTCTTTATAGTATCCCCCCCACGTCCCCATAGTTTTCATTTTCTGTGGTTTCAGTTACCCGCGGTCACCCACATTCCAGAAGCTCAGATGATCCCCCTTCTGACATGTTGTCAGGGGGTCAGTAGTAGCCTAACACTGTGTCATCCACCTCACCTCGTGTCACCACGTAGGCATTTCATCATCTCCTGTCATCACAAGAAGGGCGAGTGCAGTGCATGCTCTATAAGAATTTTGAGAGCGAGACCACATTCCCATAACAACTGTTCTAATTTATTATTAGTTATTGTTGTTAATCTTTTACTGTGCCTGATTCACAACTTGAACGTTGTCATAGGTGTGTAAGTGTAGGAAGAAACTGGTTTGGTACAGGCATCCATGGGTCAGTCTTGGAACCTATCACTCCATGGATAAAGGGAGACTGCTATGCCTCTTAATATTTGAGCATACCAGTAGTTATTCAAAAATACAGGAATATTTATATTTAATACATATTTTTGTATGCTCAGTTCAAGTGTACTATCAAAACTAGATAAAATAAATGAGGCTATTATGATAAAATTTTCTGTACTAGCATAAAAATTAACTTTCTGTTGAGGAATAAAGTTTTTATTGATTTTTTTCCACTTTATTAATTTTTTTTTTTGCTTTTTTCTCTCCCATTTTAAAGATAAGACTTCTTTTATGTGTATTATGCTACAGACTTCTCTACACCTTCCAGATAAATGATTTAAATCTAAATTTTTATATTTAGATTTTAAAGTAAAATCTTAAAGCCTTTTAGATCTCTTAGAGAAGTACAAAAGATAGGAGAAACGATTGCTGTCCAGTATTGAGTACTTAGAGGAGGACATATTTTACAAAAGAAGTGAAAATGGCATTTAAACATTTAGGTTCTTAATGGAAATGTTGGAATTTTTAGCAAGTAGAGATGACAAAAAGTTGTATGGGAGAGAATGAAAGAAGAAGCAGAGTCCATCTTTTGCAGGGTTTTGCTTTAAAATCAAAGATTTACACATTTGGTTTTGCAGGGTTATCAGACTGGATGTGTGTGTTAACTGGGCTTTAAGTTCTGTTTTAAAGACTAGAAGGCTGTTTTCATTTTGAATGAGCTCGCTGGTTATGCTGGTGATGATCGACAACACCTGCACTCTTCTGTGTCACATTGAACCCCCGGGGGGGCACTTCTTGAAGTGAACTGAATAGGGTGGTCTGCACTGCAAGCATATGACCTAGGGTGAAGGAAAGATTTCTGCCCTCCAGGCGTGAAAGAAAAACAACCCAGATTCTTTGCCTATTTAGAAGATATAGAAATGAAATCAAAATGTAGAAATTTACAAAGAATTCAAAAAATGTTTGTGTGGATATAGGTAGAATTTACTGTGAGGGATCGTGTCTTTAAAAATATTTGAAAACTGATTAAAATTTGGTGATTTTCTTTCATAGATATGCCCAGAAAAATGATGAAAAAGATAAGGAACATGAATTACTTCTGGATCACTCCCTTGAAATCAGGCAAATTAAGCTTACATTTGTTTTTACTGTCTTATTATACTTTTAATACTAGAGGCACCAGCACACTAGGCTTCTAAGTCTGTTGTTGTGGCTTGTCTGTTTTTTTAGAATAATTATGTGTGTCTGTTCTTTATTTATGTTTTTATTTTATTCTTTAAATTAATATTTAAATAAGTTTATTTTTTGAGTATTTTTATTTTATGATGTTCCTACTACTTTATTTCACATTGTCAGTATAAAAATCCTGAATTTATTATTGTTGATTACTCTTTTCTTTTGAATTCTGAAACTAAATGTGTTTTTAAAATTTTTGTGTTACTTAAAATAACAATCTCAACTTTATTATGGTAGTTTGTGGCTCTATAATTATAAGTTTATTGAAGATTTTTATTATGAACTTATAAAAAGTTTCCTTTTAACCTTTATTAATGGAAATAATGTGTTTACATACCGGTAGCCAATATATCCAGTAGTTTAGCATTTGCGTTCTGCATTTCTCGTTGAATATTGTTTCACGTACACATTTCCATTCACATCATAATTCATAAACATATTGCCATGAATAGCTTGGTACAGATCACTGTTTTTCTTTGTGTTATTTCCTTGTAATGTGTGTCAAAATAGAATTTCTGACTGAAAGGATGAGGGATGTTCTCTAAAGTTTATTAATACAGCCGGATTGTACTCCACCTGTCCTCATAAAAATGATGAACCAGTCTCAGCATTTCCACCAAACACTCAATTTTATTTTATATGTTCCTTTGATCATTTGTGAAGCGCAAAAAGGACATATGAGTCTGTGTAGTAAATAGTCAAATACTAGGCAAGAAGGTACCTTAGAGGATGTTAGTCTTTCTGTGGCGTGATTCAGGGCTAGGCCTTTGGCTGTCTCACTGTTTTTTTTTTTCCCAAGAAGTTTTTTTCTCAATATTTGCAGTAATACATTTACAAATGAGAAAATGAAAGTAGAAGGATATATAAAGAAAGGGAAGGAGAATTACGAAGAGAGTCTTCAAAGAGCTGTGGCTGCCGAGGTGAGTCTGAGACACTTGGCGACTGACAGTTATGGCGACATACATTTGCTTTGTGTTCAGTTAACGTGAGGCATGACAGCACCGCCAGAGGTGTGGAGGCCGGGGCTGTCCTCTTTCCCATGATCCTACCTCCCAGAAATAGCTACTTTTTTCTGGCCTGTCACTTTTTAATGTTTTTTTACCCTTAAGCTTACGTTGTGTTATGTATCTGTACTCAGAGTGTACACCAAATTTTGCAGTCTGCTTTACTTATTTATTATTTTAATTCAGTCATTTTCCATGCTCTACACTTAGAATGGCTTCATCATAGTAATCAAATGATACGCCACGAAGTAGCCAACCATAAAACATACGTGCCAATACTAGAAGAACTTGAAAATATTCCATTTATTAATACACTCTCAAAAAGAAAAAAGAATATGCTCTCTTCTTCCCCCAGAAGAATATATACCAATGTCAGTATACTGTTTGAGACACTCCTGAGACAAAATTCAAAATCACAACCTCTGGCTGTATTTTATTTAGTTCCCAAAACATGGTTGTCTTTGTTTTTCCAATTGAGAAGAAATGTTCTTGGTTGGTATATATATCTGTGATTTTTCTGGGAAATTTAAAAAAAAAGGATTAGCTTATGTAGTCCACAGATGGACTTTTGATTAAATATTGACTGTGCAGCAGCTTCTAAGGAAAGGAAGGGGGGAAAAAGCCAAAGTACATATATTTTTGGGTCCTGTGCCCACATCTATATTCATAAGCTTGTTCAGGTCCCATTTACCACCATTTGGCCTGCCCGTCTGCCTGGTGGGTCCGGGACTAACACCTGCATTAAAACAAAGCAGTTCTATATTTCCATAATGACTTAATGAAAATGGCCAGTAGGCTTATTGGGAAGCTAAAGAGTCTAAAGTTTTAAGAACCTGCCCCAGAGGCTTTTGAAGTTCGTATTGAAAACAACTTCTCTGAGGCCTTTAAATATGAGAGGGTACAGCCTTGGGGTTATTCTGCAGGCCCCTGGCCCTCTGCTCACCAGGAACAGGACCATAGATAATGCACATCAGGTGTATACATGTAGGTAACCTGGCTCTGTGCTTGTACATGGCTCAAGCGGTAAGCCACGTGGAAAGTTTCATATCTGAGAAACGTATCATTTAAGGTAAAATAATTTTACTGTCATTATGTTGTTCTATTTTCAAATCCAAAAGTTTTATTTAATTCATGTTCACTTGTGTGAAATTACAGTATTATCAGGTTCTAATGATTCTGTCATCATTGGTCCTTTAAGGAGAAACTTGAAAGTAGTTCAAAATGTTTAAGTTTTAACAACCTAAAATAGTTTCAGTTTCATCATCTTAAAATACTTAAACATTCTCTAATCTAATGTTAGGTATCTGTGCTTGAAAACTGGAAGGACATGGATGTGTACAAATTACAGATCATGGACTCACAGGCAGAAGGGTATCTTAAGAACCTGAGGCTCCTGAGCAGGTACTGTGTGGCATCACAGATGTTCTTTCTGGCATGTCATTTAGTAAATCCAAGTTAGAGCTGATTTGAGAAAAAAAAAATGTTTATATTAGACAGGACTTTTTTTTTTTTTTAAAGTAGGCTCCATGCCCAGCATGGAGCCCAACAAGGAGCTTGAACTCATGACCCTGAGATCAAGACCTGAGCCAAAATCAAGAGTTGCATGTTTAACTGACTGAGCCAGCCAGGTTCCCCAAGACCATTTTATTTTTAATAGTTATACAGTCAATACATGTTCAATTGTAGAAAAATCAAAACGTACAAACAAAACTGGTAAAGATTATCCATAATTCTAAATTGATGTGTAACTAGTTAGTATTTTGGAATAAATCAGTAAGTGTTTGAAAAAAAGAAAATATATGGTTTTTTTTTTCACTAAGTAATACATAGGAAACTTCCTTTCATATCAATAATTACATTTCTCTAACCTAATTTTGCAAAGTTGAATAGTGTTCCAGCATACAATTGTGTCGTGATTTATTAAACAACACTGTGATGGTATAGTCGGGTTATTTGCACATTCTGTTAATAAAAGCTGCACTTCAGTGAGTTTCCTTGTAGCTAAATTTTTATGCATATTATTAATCATTTCCATGCAATAAATTTCTGGAATGAAGATCACATTTTCAAGCTTTTTAAAAAATTACCTTCTATATAAGAACAGTCACTTAACAGTCTTAGTGGTAGACTAAGAATGGAATGTCACTTCAAAAGATATTCACCTGTGGTCATTTCTTTTAACTCTCCATCATCATCTTTCTTGTTTTTATTTGATGTCGTTTTTGGAATAAGGTTTACCTGGGAATTTTAGAGGGTCTTCTTCAGTCTAGCCTCAGCATTTTCTGTGTGGATTTTCACACAAGGGATTACTTTTCATCTGGTCTTTTTATCATATTCCACAGTCAGTTTTCATCCTTCCCTATGCTTTTTGCTTTAACACTTCAAACCCTCAGTGTTGACCCTCTCTGGGGTCATGGAAAAGGTTTTAAGGTAGTTTTTATTTCTTGATTTTTCAAGATTTAGATTTTTTTCACATGAGAAAACCTTTCTAATGAGAGAAAACTAATATGCTGATTCGAATTACAAGACTGGTACAGCTGAAGTGGAAATAGTGGTGCCGAAAGGCTGGTGTTTTATCTTGCCGTGGGCCATACGTTATGGCATCTCTGGGAAACAGAACTCTCAGACCTTTCGTCTGATAGTGTCGACTTCCTCATTAAGCCTCATAGTACACGTAGCTTTTTTCTTAGGGATTCTGTGCTAATTTCATTCTACCAAAGGATAGCGAAAGAGAAAAGACATAAAAGGAATGTTCTGGTTTTTCTTTAAGATATATAATGAGAACTGACACAGTCACGGATTGATAATGTTACTGATCTTCCCAGTTAGGAGTGGAAAGCTTGTTTGTCACTTTCAGTAAAGGTGCTGAGGTATAAACTTATCACAGTCTGTTAGGCCCCACTCTATTTTACCATAAGGCGAGAATGAGGTTTTTTACTGGAACGTTTAAGTGTTCCATGTTGCCTTTTTATTTTTTTTAATGTAAAAACAGCCATTGATGTTAAACACAAAGATGTTAAATGAAAAATGGTCAAATCTTCAAAGTTAGGGCAAGAAATTAAAATTTAGGAGAATATTTACTCTCTGCCCACCAGCCTGGGAAGTTTGGTTAATCAATAATTAAGATTTCCTAAAGTGCTTCTGTTGGTGAGTCTGTAAGATACATAATTCTTTAAAAATAGTTTTGTGTGTGGGGCGCCTGGGTGGCTCAGTCTGTTAAGCATCCGACTCTTGATTTCTGCTCAGGTCATGATCCTCTGGGTTGTGAGATTGAGCCCCCTGTCGGGCTCCACACTCAGTGGGGAGTCTGCTTGAAGATTCTCTCCCTCTGCCCCTCCCCCAAGATGTGAGCACTCTTGCACACTCTCTAAAATAAATCTTTTAAAAAAATAGTTTTGTGTGTGTGATCGTGTTAAATATATCTTTCTGGGGCTCCTGGGTGGCTAAATTGGTTAAGCATCAGCCTTCAGCTCAGGTCGTGATCCCCGGGTCCTGGGATTGAGCCCCATGTTGGACTCCTTGCTCAGCCGGGAGCCTACTTCTCCCTCTCCCTCTGCCTGCCACTCCCCCTGCTTGTGCTCTCTCTCTCTCTCTGTCTCTGTCAAATAAATAAAATCTTTAAGTATATATATATATATATATCTTTCTCATGTTTAAGTGTTTTTATTTGCACTGTAGTGTTTTTAACTCTTAAAAACATACCTGAAGTAGACATTAAGCAGTTCCATGTTTTTCTTTTTCAGTGATTCTGCAACTTACCCTGATATGGAGTCGGATGTACATTCATGGGAATTGTTTCTTTCTAAGGTTAGAAAAGAAATCGTGAAAGTAAAGGTAAGTTATAAAATATTTTGTAATTCTGTCAAAACCGATATGATGATTATAGTTCTCAGGAGAGATGAGTGTCACTGAAACTTTTTGTTGAGCTGTTAAAGGCAATATATATTTTTTGTTGTAATTATTAAGAGTTTTTCCTGAAAATAATGCTGTTTTCTTAATTAGCTGTCTTAAACTCTGCCTGTAATTGAGAAAATCAGAGAAGTTATATTTGACAAGACTGTAGAGCATTCCTATTAATGAGGTCTTATTTTGAACTTCTTTCAAGAAATAATTGTTCTGATACTTTGCATGTCTGTTATATTTCCTGAAAGATTGTTGACCATTTTTAAATATATAGTAAGAAAAAAGAATTGACAGTTGTGATTCTTTCTGGGAATTTATTAGAAGAACTTAACACTTTTCCTTCTACCTACAGTCTCAGTATGAAGAACAAATACAGGCAGTTAAAAATGGCTCTCGGCTCAGTGAACTTCCTAAAGTGCAGATTCCTGAGCTTTCATTTCCCACATGTAGCACAGTAAGTCTGTCACCCCTTCTTTCTTTCTTTCTTTTTTCTTTTTGTGTGTGTGAAGAAAAGAAAACAATAGTAAACCATAGTTTCTTTCTTATTTGGCCAGAGTAGATTTTTGTTGTTTGTATTCTAGGAGTGGGGATGAGATGGATTAATAAGTGACCTTAATGTTTTCATTATTGGTGCTACTGGTTAACCCTTTAAGCTTAATAATAAACATTCTTATATAACTAGATGAGTCTTTCTGCATCAGTGTCTGAGGATGGGGCTGAAGTAAACACAGGGCTGGTACATTGCTTTCTTAAGGATGCTGGTGTGTTTTCTGCGTGTGAACGAATAATCCAAGAGGATCAGTTGCCTGTGATTTAGACCAGCTCTCTCTACAAATACCACCTAAAATATAGTCTTATTCCTAGATACTTGCAGGCATAAGACCAAAATTAAGATTTGTGTTTTCATCAAATACAGCTAAAAAGTGCTATATCTGAGACATACAAAGGTTTTGTTGGTCTGATCTGTTATATTTTATTGCTAGTTTGAGGTATTTGCTGAATCTTTTGAATAATAGTGATTGCCAAACCTCGCTTTGTATTTTAAAATATGCAGCACAGTAAAGAAAAACATTAGTTCTATATTGTGGACTTTAAAATAGGGCTCCACCTAGTATCACTTTATTGTATTCTGGGGTACATATTTCTTATTTGGACACAGAGCAGATGCTCAGCCGAAACCAAATTGAAAAGAATTAAGACCAAAGGAGATCAGACTGTAAGAATTTAAAGAAGGACTGTATTCAAGAGTTGATTAGAGGTAGGTTTCAGAATATTTTGGCACAACATTAAAAACTTCTGGTTGTGAAATAGTCTGCTATAATGAGACTATTTTCCTTAGGTCCTGATTTGTATCTTCCTGCCACTGCCAGACCTTTATCTGGGATGTTCCCCAGCCTGGAACACCAACCTCACTCTCCACCTTCTGCCTCTTCCTAAAAGCCCAGTCAAAGCTGCCCACATTTGTGCCTCACCCTGTAACCCTTCTGTCATGTGCATTCAGTCTCCTTAATGTAGGTGACTACACTCAGGAGCCTGATCTTGAAAGTCTCTCTCTAGCCAGTACTTTGCATACTAAGCATGCAAGCTTATTGTGGTTTCACCTGCCAAAAAATGTTTTTAAAACATTACAAAGGGGGCACCTGGGTGGCTCAGATAGTTAAGCATCTGCCTTCGGCTCAGGTTATGATCCCGGGGTTCTGGGATCGAGCCCCACATTGGGCTCCTGGCTCAGCGGGGAGCCTGCTTCTCCTTCTCCCTCTGCCTCTCTCCCTGCTCATGCTCTCTCTTTCTCTGTATCTCTGTGTCTCAAATGAATAAATAAAATCTTTTAAAAAAAAAAAGATTGGCCACCTTGAACTGAGTAAAATACTCTTTTGGGATCCATTTTCTTCTCTCCATAGAAACACATTTTTCTCTCCATTGAACTGAGTAAGAAGTAGAGTTTGATGTAGAATTAAAGATCACTTTTCATTTATAATGTTTCTAAGTTCTTTATTTTTTTTTTAAGATTTATTTATTTGAGAGAGTGTGTGGAGGGGAGGGACAGAGGGAGAGACACAAGCAGATTCTGTGCTGAATGCAGAGCCTGAGGCAGGGCTATATCTCACAACCCTGAGATCACAACCTGAGCTGAAACCAAGGGTCAGATGCTCAACTGACTGAGCCACCCAGGCACCCGCTCTTTTTTTTTCTTTTTTTTTTTTTTCATTTTGGAGAGAGAGTGTGTTTCTAAGTTCTTATGGCAGACATGGAAGGGGAAAAAAATGTGAGATCTCAGTAGAATATTTGCTATTAATTTTTAGTTGTAGCTTATGTAATTTTATAAATACACAAAAAAATTTTAATATCTAAGCTTTGGGAACTCTTAGGGTTCCAGGAACTTAAGTAATAAGTATCCCTAAAAACCATTAGCTTTGTGTGTTATTTCTCCTCCATTCATTCATTGGGTATTTAGTGGTGATCAAGATTAGATATGGTCTGTTCCCTCAAAGGGCATATGGGTTTGGGAAAAGAAAGTTATTAAGCCCATAATTATAAGTAAAGTGTGCCAAGGTTTTTCACAGGAGCATAAAATGCTGTAGCAGCATATATTAGGAGGGGTTAACCTAACCTAGAGGTCTAGGCCTCAGCAGAAGATTCCCTGTTGGAGGTCTCAGTGAGTCAGAGATCTGGAATAGGAATTAACCAGGCAAAAGGAAGACACGGGTATGTGTTTGAGAAGGGGTAGACAGTGTGGTATTTGGAGGGTCAGAGTATCTCAAATGCGAGAAACAGCATATTTGGAGGCTAAAAAAACAGAAAACACTTCTTTCATGGATATAAAAGAAGTTCGGTATGATAGAGGGGGGCTTTGGTGAGAAAAATCATAGAAGTACCCAGGAGCCAGAACCAAGGGAGCCTTACTTATTCTATAAGGTGTGTTCAGCAGTTTGACTTTTCCTGAGGTCACTAAGAAACCAATATAGGTTTCAAGTAAGGAGATGCCATCAGCTGGCCCACAGTATGGAGAACTGGGAGAAGGGCTCACTGTCAGCAACTGTGTCCCAGATTAGAGAGTGGGAGTTGGGCTGGATTTGAGAGGTCTTTAGGATGAACAGTGGAAATAACTGTACTGCCTGTGAGATGGGGGGCACGGTGTGCGTATTTTGGGGAGTTAAGACAAATCTGGTTTTCTGTCCGTGAGGTGGGCACCCAAGGAAGAGCAGGATCGGAGACTGAGCCAAGCCTGATTTTGAAGACACAAGTTTAAGTGGCCTTGGATTTGCCTAAGAGGAAGTTTGGATTTGCAGTTGTGGATCTCAGGAAAACATTCAAGACTAGAATCTTTTAAAAAGTGGTCATTATCAGTACTAAGCACACAGTCACTGAGGCATGAAAGAATGTGAAATGTCCTGGGGAAGAACATGAATCTCCAGCCCCCAACAGCATCCTAAGGAGTGTCCACATTAAGGCACAGACAAGCATTAAGAACTACAGGGAGAGCCTGGGAAGGGGCTGCAGAGAGGTGGGAGGGAGGTGTGTGGAGCCCAGTAGAGCTCATTTTAAAGTGAAGGTGACCAGCAGTTTTTTAAAAACAAAACTTTAATTTATCGTATTCGAGTTTCCTGTGCACTTGAGCACCCAGGTTTTATTATAGTCTGCTTAATCGTCAGGCTTTATCCACAGATGTTTCTCTTAGTGATCCAAGGACTATGGTATATTCTTCCCAGATTCCTCCTCCGGTACTTCCAGAGTCTTCAGGTTGTGAGGATCAGGGAACCTCCACTTCTACAAGTCATGGGACTGGAAACCAAACAGCAGTTCCTAAGGATTCAAGTCTGGCCTCTGCCAATGATGGCCCAGTGGGGGCTTCCTCTCCACCGTTAACAGGATCGCTCTCCCGTCAGCCTGAAGTCATCCAGCTGCCAGAGTGTAAGATCACGGGCCAGGAAACTCTGCCAAAACAAAGCCTTGTGGCTGATCAGAAACCACCTATTCTTCCAGGACGAGTTACCCGCTCAAGCCAGTCTCCAAAAAAGCCGTTCAATAGTATTATCGAGCACCTGTCAGTGGTATTCCCATGTTACAACAGGTAGGGATATAAAATGTCTGTGACTCTGTTAAATACTTTATTGAACTGAGGTTTCCTGATCAGATAACATTATGGCCAGTTAGGGGCTGAAGTGGAAACCACTCCATAGTTGTTTTACTCAGAAAAGACAGATGTTACCTTTTTTTCTTTTTTTGTAAACATAGAGGTGAGCATTTTCAAACCAACTTTTTGATATGCATTTCTAGATTGAAAACACTGACTCCTGGTTACTCCACACTCATCAGAACCCAGGGCAATTTGCTGAGATACTGATGAATAACATACTTCAGTCCTAGTATGCAATCCCTAAATGAAAAACAAAACTGCAAAACACTAGTTTCGTATCATTTGGGGGAAGAAATACCAGCTAGCAAGGAAGGCGGCAAGAACTTACACCTTGCAAATAGCACCTCTGATTTGTTAGAGGTGTGAAGTTGGAATGACCAGGTGTGATTTGATAGTGAGTCAGGACTGTGGGTGTGTTACAGAGGGTCCTGTGAGGGTGGGGAACGCTGCTTTATCTAAGCCAGCAAGCGTTTGCGTGGCAACCTCTGACCTCGATCTGCAGGTTGGTATGAGGGATCAGAAGTGCTCCCTGTCTCAGCCAAGGAGAGAAGCAGTGAAGGCAGTACCTCAGGGATACAGCTAGGAAGAGAGGAATCCCCATCCCAGAATGACCCTCTGTACTCTGTCCCATGTTATTTCTGTCTTTGATATGATATTATAAGTTTTGAAATTATACTTTTGAAACAAAGTAGTGGTTAAATTATGATTGGCCAGAATTAATGTTTTGCATCTGTTGTGGAGCCCTGCTTATTTGAAAATAAGTATATGTCCATGGGCATATTTAGCCCTGCCTAAGTTTGAGAAACTTGTAAGTTCCCTCAGTAGCAGTTCCCATGCTAATTGTAAAAATGCTCGTTATAATTACCAAAAGTACCTTACAAATAAAATGGTTTGCAATCCTGACTAAATTTGGGAGAGTTTAAACAACCGAATAGAAATGCATCCTAATTTTCTGAAAATGAAAACATTTGAGGTATTAGTGCTCCTCCACATATCAAGTTCCTGTTGATTAATGGTGTAATTCCATCCACTGGTACTTGTGAAACATTCAGGCTTTGAAAACCTTGTTGTCAGGTTTTTTTAAGGGAGGCAGTCAACAAATCTAGTTTCCCCTTAGGTAAAAAGAGATTTTATTGATTTCAAGTCAGAACCAACGTTATCTGATCAATCAGTGATTTAGCATAAAGCTACAATACATCCAGCCTATACGAAATCTGGTTTCAAAGTAGATATGGATATCCCAAATGGATCTAGCAGATAAACTGTTCTGTTACTTTGAAATTCTAGTAAAATAAATATTTAGAAATAGTATTGGAATTTTCATAACTACTTGGAAAGAGTGATTCTCTTGCCTTTATATACAGTTGCTATTGTTTAATTTTGTATGTATTGGGTTTGTTTCTTATAGCTGTTGGGTTAATATTGGCACATAATATTTCTCCACAGTAGAAAACTTTGACTTTCTCTTGTCATTTATCTCCACTTCCTCTTTTTAGCACCGAGCTTGCTGGTTTTATTAAAAAAGTGCGAAACAAGAACAAGAACTCGCTCTCAGGATTGAGTATTGATGAAATTGTCCAAAGAGTGACAGAACACATTCTAGATGAACAGAAAAAGGTCAGTGTTTCATCCAGATACAATAACACAATAAAATGGTCCACTTTATTTATAAAATATGAGAATTATAAAAAGCAAAAAAAAAAAAAAGTGCATCCAACCAAAATATGGAGAGCACTTCAGTAAAGACAAGATTTGGGTTTACTAAACTTGCTTCTCTCCCTGCCCACATTATCTCTGTAGCCAAATTCAAATTCAGGAAAAGACAAGAAGTTGTCTGAGCCCAGCTCTGCTGCTTCTGTGACCAGGGCCTCCCAGGGCCCACCCTCCATAATTGCTGGACCATCACCCAAAACCAAGGGACAGAAGACAGAAGATATCCCTGTGAGTGTTATATGTGTGACGGTGGAGTCAGTTTTGTTTTTTTAATGAACAGGAAGGAGACAAAATAGTTAATCCATGATTTAGCCCCATTCTTTTCATTTCTAGACCTAATTTATTTGATCTTAAAATTAGAAACCAGGGGCCCCTGGCTGGCTCAGTTGGTAGAGTGTGCAACTCTTGATCTTGGGGTTGTGAGTTTGAGCCCCATGTTGGGCATGGAGCCTACTTCAAAAAAAAAATTAGAGGTGCTTGGGTGGCTTAGTCACTTAAGCATGGACTCTTGATTTCAGCTCAGGTTATGATCTCAGGACGGTGACATCAAGCCCCTTGACAGGCTCTGCTCTCAGCAGGGAGTCTGCTTGAGATTCTCTCTCTCCCTCTCCCCCTCCCTTACTCGTGTGCACGCTCTCTTTCTCAAATAAATAAATTTTTAAAGAATACTAGAGACCAAATTTGGATGTACTTAAGTGTCCCATTAGAACATCTCTGCTTTTGTGGGTACCTGTGGGTCCCTGTTGGGAGAAGCCCCTGCACTAGAGAGACCAGGAGAGCTCTGGCCACACTGTGGGAACTGGGCCTACTGGCAGTCAAATACAAGTTAATTTTTTATAGTAAGAGTGATATTTTGAATAGTTGGGGAAAATGATTTTTGAATCATTTTATTCCATGTCACCGTGGGCTTTGGAATCCCAGACTTGGTTCTGTCACTTAGTAACACTGTGAGCTCAGATCATATCTGCTTGTTCAGGCTGTTGTCTGGATGAAGTGCTAGAATAGAATGACCAGGGTCAAGCTCTGTATTCATGCAAGTCTGGTTGCTTCCCCTCTCTCTCCCCTTGAGTGCCTAGGGGGGATAGGGGGGACACTGGACACTTGATCTTACGGGCTAAACTTGCCTCAATTTGATATATGGATTTAAAATGTTTTTTGTTCTTTTGGACAATAAGAATGTTACGTTTACATAGATCTTTTTATAAAATGCTGTAGTATCTATGGTCTCAATTGATAAGGTATTATAATTGTCTTTATTTTATAATGAAGAAACTGAGGCACAGATGATTGATGCAGCTTGCCAGCATTCCTTCATTTGATCTGGGTGTGTAGCATGTAATTCCCTAATCCTCACCACATGGAGCCAGCCGATGCTAGGGACTGTGTAGTAGGAACCAAACGTGGTTGAAAGAGGCCAATCAGGGCTGTGGGCCCCAGATTGAGTGCTGGTGTAAAGCATGTTTCTCCCTTCTGTCCAACTGTGATATCAGAGTTTATTTTTTTAAAGGTTTTATTTCTTAGAGCGAGCAGGCACGAGGGTGGGGGAGGAGCAGGGTGAGAGGGAGAAGCAGACTCCCTGCTTAGCTGGGAGTCCGGTGCAGGACTCGATCATGACCTGAGCCAAAGGCAGATGCTTAACCGACTGAGCCACCCAGGTGCCCCGGTATCAGAGTTTAGATGAAATGAAAATTAGAAGAGTTTCTGGCCCCATAGTGGAGTCAGCGATGCATGATTGCACAGAGTACTTGTTTGCTGACTTGAACTAAGCAGTGAATCTTTGTGTGAACTTAACATTTTTATTCCTCCTGTACATTTTCACTTTCCACTGTTCTTTGGCTATTTTCCAAACCATATATACTTATTTCCCAGAGCATGTAACTCCAATGAGAGAGCTTATGAGCACGCAGAGCATTCCTGCAAGACCTGGCTGGAGTGCCTCCCTCTCCCCAGGCTGCTGACTGGCTAGGTGCTGGGTGGTCCTCTGAGCAGGCCAAATGCTGAGAGCATCCTCACCGACACCCGACACCCCCCCCCCCAACACACACATGGAATGCAGTCACCTTCAGGGGAGAGATTACTTTCTGCTTCATGGTCGTTGATGATGATGATAAAGTTGTAAAAGCTGACTTCTAAGAAAAATATGTATTCAAACTGGGACTTAGTTTGATAATTATAGGTAGTTTTTTTAAAAATTAAAAGTAGTTTGCTTTATCTTTTCAAATTACAAAAGCAGTACGTGTTCATAGTAGGAAATACAAATAAAAAGCCTTTAAAGAACCCCAACACTCACCCCCTAAGGTAACCAGTATTATGATATTGGTATGTGTTTTTCTAACCTCTTTTGTATGTGTGTGTATATATGAATTTAGTCAAAACTATAAATACTTTTTGTGTCCTTTTCTTTTTCACTTAGTAATGTATGTGCCCATCTTTTCATGCTAATAAAAATAAGTCAAGTTAACTGGGTTTTTCAAGCCAAACCTAGCTCTGAGCTTTGCAGAGGCCTTAATCTGCCCTTCCCTGGGACTGACACTTCCATTGCTACCTGACCCTCCCATCGGGCCGCAGAGTGGAGCTAGAGCCTCTCATTCTACTGTATCTACCCCATCAATGCTAGGGGAGAGACAGAAAACCCCATTCAGCAGTTCAGGGTCTTCAGAGCCTTTAGGCACTGTCCCCATCTGCATCCCTGACCTTAATCCCATGGCCAGGGCTGCTCTCATTCACTCGCCTGACAGTTTGTGGAGAATCATTCTGGGGCCAGGTCCTTTGCCATTTGCTAAGGATATAGATGAACAGTGCTCCTTCCTTGCCTTCAGGGTGCTCAGAGTTTGGAGGGGAGGAGGACTGGAAAATAATGGTGCAGCGTGGGTAGGTGCTGTGATTTGTAGGGGGAGTTTGTGCCTGGTGTCCTGGGTGGCACTCCAGCTCTGCTTTCACAGAAAATGCTGTCTGTGCTCACCAGACTGTGTGCTGCTTGAGCCAGAAACTCTCCCATTCAGCTCTGTGCCCTCGCGCCCCGCACAATCCCTGACCGCGGATGTTTGCCGAATGAGCCATCAGTTTGTTTTGTTTTGATTTGCACACGTAATCCACATCCATAGAAACTTTAGAAAATAGCAAAGAAAAAAGTTAAATCTCTTAACTGAAAGTAACTGCTGTTCACATTCTATATCTTTCCAGGAAGGTATCTCTCTCTACAGCCGTTATCTTTATTTCAAAAAATCAATTATGTGACTATATGATATGTACTGTTTTGTAACCTGCTTTTATTCAGAGGATTGTCGTCACCACCTTTTTATGTCAGGGATTGTGGACTTCCATCATGATTTCAGTTAGCCCCGTAATAGTCCATAGTGTGGATGTGTCATAATTTATCTTTCTGTCCCCAACTGTTAGATAATTAGATGAATGATTAATTTATAATATTCATACCGTAGTTTGGGTGTGGGGTGGGATAATTAGAAATTTGTAATAATTTCCTGGGAACCTATTAGCCATATAAAACATTTTTTTCTGTGAGAAAATTAGAACTTTAAAGGTATATTTTTTTCTTTTGTATGTTTGTAATTTTTCTTAAGAAATGCTATTAAAAACTAAGTTGTTCCCTCAGCCTGCTTAGCAGTAATTGGGAGTAATTTGCCACCTTAATGACAAAAGTGTATAAAGGCCACTTGTAGGAAGGGCTTGTGTAGTAAAAAGGAATTTAGCTCTTCTTCATTACGGGGATACGTTTGTTTCCACAGGCATCAGGTGCAGCTTCCTGTGAACTATGCCATGAGGTATTCAAATCCAAAAATGTGCGTGTGCTAAAATGTGGGCACAAGTTTCACAAAGGGGTAAGAATTCTCTTTGGCCATCCTCATATCATGAATTTCGACTATTAAGTATTTTGAAAAACAGAGACCTTTTTTTTAAGATTTTATTTATTTATTTGACAGCAAGAGAGGGAACACAAGCAGGGGGAGTGGGAGAGGGAGAAGCAGGCTTCCCACCGAGCAGGGCGCCCAACATGGGACTGGATCCCAGGACCTTGGGATCATGACCTGAGCCAAAGGCAGACGCTTAACGACTGAGCCACCCAGGCGCCCCAAAAAGGGACTTTTTTTCATAGGTGTCAGTACTTGTGTTTTCAAAGTATTTTCTTTGAATATACTTTGAATAGAATAGAAATACTTCTATTCTCCTTGTGCCAGTGTTCATTGTCTCCCTTTCCAAAGATTGCTGCTCTGGAAAGGGGGAGAGGCCTCCTGGGGTCTGGGGTGTGCAGTTTTGCACACTGTCCTTTCCATCCATCACATCATGGGTGGAGGAGAACAGTCCTAGTCGGCTCCCTCAAATTGTTGGTGCTGAAATTCAAAACAGTATTTGTTTCTTAAAAGGTAATTTCTTACACACATGGCTCAATAGATGCACAGTGCAGCATTTTGTCAATTTAGTGCAGTATATGAAGTAAGTTTAACATTTTAAAGGAGAAAAGCTAAACCTAACTGGGTCCATTGTGCCTGATCCTGGGAGATTCTGGCTTGTACCCTTGTACGATCTTTGGGTAAATATTTTGGGTGCTGTGGGCATTCATTCTGTATCCCTGCTTCTGGTTAGAATAGGTCAGGTCTCTGCCATGTCAGTTTATTAATCCCTTGGAAAAAGGGACAGACACAACACACTTAGGAGGAGGAGTCGAGACAGCTTGCAATCTCTTGCATGGCCTGTGTCCTGCAGGTATCGGGGTGTTGTGCCTGGGCTCTCAGACTTAACACACACACGCAGCTCTTAGCAGCAACAGGCAGCCACAAGCAACTTGGGACCACGATGGTAGACAGGTTCCAGTCAAGGCTGTGGTGTGGAGGCTGGTGGGATGTATAAGAATCAAGACCCGGCAGAGAGAGGATCGGTTAAAAATTGGGTGAGTCCCAGGACCAAGAAAATGCCGATCCCTGGAATGAAATGACAAGAATGAAGCTGGAGTGTAGGGAAAGTGGAGGGGCAAGGCCATCCCCCTGAGATTAGGTCAGAGGCCCAGAGTCCATGGGTCAGATTCTGGAGCAAATGATTTGTTCCTAGGGCTTGGGGCACACTCCTTGCTTGAGTAGGCTTCAGTGTTGCTGAGTGTTGGGCAGCTCCAGGCGCCACCAGACTTGGAGGTGAATTTAACCATGTCTGTTGAGGAGCAGCACAGGAGAGCTAAGGCTCCACATGTTCCTGAAGACATTGACTGATTTCATTTTCTCATTTTCAGTGCTTTAAGCAGTGGCTGAAAGGGCAGAGCACTTGCCCAGCCTGCCTTGATCAGGATCTCCTGTAAGAAGAGTAGCCGGCACCTTCTGGAAGAGGCCAGCCTGCTTCTCTAGGTAGTCACAGTTCACTGAAGAGTAATTTACTGGTTTGTTGAATTGGAAGAATAACAATATATTACTTCTGGTATAAAAAGCAAACATTTGAGATTCTTTGCACTGTGTGTCACAGTGCTAATAAATGGAAATCTTTAATACAGTTGATAGTAATTTCCCTGCTCTTAACTAAACACTTCGATAATAGCAAGTAGTGGCTAATAAAATTATGTGTAGCCACATTCCTAAATTGTTGGGGCTTCTTACAGAGGTGCTCTCTGAGATGGAAGGCTTCTTTTGGGAAGTGTTATGAGCACCTCAAAGCAGTACTTGAATTTAAAGTATTCTGACCTATTAAAGTGCCCAGGTTAAAATTTTTACAAGTCAATATTCCTTATAACATGCCTACATTTTTCCTCAAAGATTCTGCATTTAAATGGGCTTAAGCAAACACATTTTAATAATCTGTAGTAAATGGTAACATATTGGCTGATTTAAACCAAAAGATTTAAATCTCCTTTTCATGAAACACCATGTGATTTTGCTTTTTCATTTCGTTGTTTTATTCCCCCCAGTAGAATAAATGGCTGTTTATAAAAGAGCTTACTTTTCATCACCTAAAAGATATAATCTGATTTTTGAAAATCAATTACAAATACTTTCTTATTCGTGTCAGCCAAGACTTTTTTTGCCCCGAAAATTGAGGCTACATATTCATCATCCCCATGCTACATTTGGAACTTGTTCTTTGAACATCTTACTCTTACTAGCAGCATTTGTCCTCCTTCATGAGTTAGATGACGAATGTTTGGGTATCTCGGTCTAACACATGGTAGGCACCACAGGGAAATAGTCACCATCATTCCCCTCCCTTGTCCCACCACAGAAAGAGGCACTTGTGTAATTAGACAGTCCTGAGGTGTCCCTGTTTCACTTGTTCCATGTTTGACATCTGTGTGAAGTAATGCATGCACTCTTGTACTGTGGTGTGAGAACAAAACTTTAACTGCTTTAGAATCTGTTAAAATATTAGATCTCTTCAGTGACTTGTAGACAGTGGTGAATATAGAAACATGAATTCTGGACACATTCCATTTCTCTCAGACATCAAAAAAATGTTTTTCTTTGTGTTCTTTGTTCCCCTGGAAGCTCACAGTCCCAAGTTCGTGAGTTAATTTGGTCACCTTCCTCAGCCTTGGTTCCTTGTGAGTTTTGATGTCTTAGTGACTTAGTCCATAGATGCTCACTCTGTACTTTGAGGCAGATTTTCCTTGCAGGTCCCAGAAACATTGTCTACATGTTCACAACAACTGAGAACCGTAGATAGGAAGATACGTAGGGAGCAGCAGGTGTAAAGGAAAAGAAGAGCAACTGGAGGGTGAGAAAATGTGTTTTGTGCATCAAACAAATATTGTGAACATGCCTTATACATGTCCTGGTGTAAGTTTCAAAATAAAGAGCATTCTAAAATAATACGTTTACTGTCATGCTTGTCCATTTTTCTCAAGTATTTCTTAAAAAGAATTCTACTAGAAAATTCAAGACACATATATTATCTTCATTTGGAAAAGAAGAGCCATGATACATCCAAAGAGTCTAACCAAGGATCTTAGAAAATTTTAGAGCCTGGATCAAAACATGCCTCTGTGCCTAAATAAAGGTTGCGAAACTCAAGTTCACATGATTGGCTATTTAATTTGTGAATAGAAAGTTTATACACAGATGATAGTGTACTGCTTCAGCTAATGTAAGATATTTCATGTGAACACATATAAGAATGTTGAAGGTAATCAAATTACATTCCTCAGTATCCATTTTCCTTTGAGGCACTTGTGGATTCATGGACAACTGAGGCCAAGCAGTAGGGTTTCTCTTTTGGAGAATCTTCTGGTGAGCACTAAGAGATGATTGAAGAAAGCGAGTATTATCAGTATATGTTTTTAATCTGATAGCATTTAATTCAAAATAACATATAACTTAATGACTATTCCTAAGAGTTTTAATTGTTTTCTCTGCAGAGCAGCTTAATCTATGCTATAAATAACGGGAAATTGAATAGAAAATTGAAGTGGTGCCCTAGCAATGCAAAATGTTACTATATTTTTAAGGTAATTTCTAAGACTGTATAGTGGAGGCAGGTGGGCAAAGTGTTGACACCACGGCACTGAAGCAACGAAACTATTTAAATCAGTTGACCCTCGCTGAAGACACGGATTAAAAGACACTGGCAGAAGAGACAGGAGCAAAGGTGGAAAGTCCTCCTGCCACAAGAGGTACGTAGTGATGAGACTGATAAGCAGACAGTAAAGTCTGTCAGAACAAGGACCAAAAACATCTCCAGTAGGGTCCTTCGTGAAAGAAATAGGAAGTACGTTTAGGTGTTCTAAACTTTAATTGAACTATATTAAAAGAACAATTGTAAAAACAATTGATCATCAGCCATGTCTAATCCCTTTTTTATTTTCTCCTCTTCACTCTGCCAAGGATCTGAGAGGGGCTGTCTGCCTTCATGTGACCATATACCTTAAGTGCTTTCCTGGGAAGGAAGGGATGGGCAAGGCCTGGAAACCAGTGAAAACGAATGTGTATTGAGTACATACTATGTGCTGGGCACTGGGCTAGATTTTTTTTTAAGATTTTATTTATTCATTTGAGACAGAGCATGAGCAGGGGGAGAGGCAGAGGAGAGGGAGAAGCAGGCTCCCCACCAAGCCAGGAGCCAGACGTGGGGCTCGATCCCAGGACCCTGGGATCATGACCTGAGCCAAAGGCAGACGCTTAACCATCTGAGCCACCCAGGCGCCCCTGGGCTAGATGCTTTGATACAGCAGTGAACAAGAAACCAGGACTCTGAAATTTGTTTTCCAGCTGAATAGACAATATATGGTGTGATTCCTGATGGTAAGAAAGGCTTTGAAGAAGTAGGTATATAGATTAATAGTAATATTAATGATCTCATAAAGTATTTAGCATAGTGCCTAACATAAATCCTTGATAAAAGGAAGCTAGTAACTGTTCCTAAGATTGGGGCCTAGAGGGGCACCTGGGTGGCTCATTCAGTTAAGCGTCTGCCTTCAGCTCAGGTCATCGTCCCAGGGTCCTGGGATCGAGCCCCATGTCAGGCTCCCTGCCAAGCTTCTCCCTCTGCTCCTTTCTCCCCTGCCCCCCGGCTTGTGTTTTCTCTCTCTCAAATAAATAAAATCTTTAAAAAAAAAAGATTAGGGCCTGGAAATTGCACAGGGAGAGTTTGGTGGTCCTGTATAAGAAGGGCTTTGTTAGATTAGGAAGTAGAATTCCTCAGTGTAGCCCAGACTGTGGAATGTGATCAAGTGGACAAGGGAGAAGAAATCAGTTCACCTCAAAGTCATTTGAAAAATACAGCTTTGTTCCTGAAATCTCCCTAATATGACTGTGGACATCATGATGATACAGCAAAGGATAATTTAACCTCTGGGTTTCACCACAGATTACCTGGATGAGCAGTCTTGAGGCAGCCTTTCTGGTCAGTTGAGGTTGAGAACCAGAGCTCTATGGTTGGCTCGCTTGGGGTATTTGTACTGGAGCATGGGAGGGGTCCAGGCAAGGTTAATTCTAGTGGAGATGGTGTGTGATCCTGACTTACTGGTTTCGGGTGAGAACTGTGCTCAATCACTTTCTCATTGCCTCCAGGTTAGACTGTCTCTCCCTATTTCCCCTTCAAGAGTGAAAGAAAAGAGGGGCACCTGGAGGGCTCAGTCGGTTAAGTGTCTGATTCTTGATTTCAGCTCAGGTCATGATCTCAGGGTCATGAGATCGAGCCCCCAACAGGCTCCACACTGGGCGTGGAGACAGCTTAATTCTCCCTCTCCCTTTGACGGCCCCTCCCCCTGCTCACACACGTGTGCACACTCTAAAAAGTGAAAGAAAAGGGAAAAAAAGATAAAATATTTAGCAAAAATGTAAGAATTAACACTTGGGAACTGCAAAATCCTAACGAGACAACCATCAATAATCAGAAAAAGTAATTTCGGATGTACATATGGAAAAAAGTGAACCTTGACCTCACACCATACGTAAACATGAACTCCAAATGGATCACGGTCCTAAGTATGGAAAGTAAAATAATAAAGCTTCTGAAGAAAACAGACAATCTTCCTGGCCTTGGAATAGGCAAAGATTTATTAGGACACAAAAAACTCCATAAGGGTAGAAATATGATAAATTGAATGTCATTACAATTAACTCATTATCAGATTACCCTTGAGAGAGAAGTCAAGCCAGGAAGTGGGAAAAAAAATCCAACAAAGGACCCAGAACATATAAGTGTTGCATATCAATAAAAAGACAATATATTTAGAAATGAGCAAATAATTTAGCCACTTCACAAATATCCAGATAGTTAATAAGCATTTTAATAGCCAAATTTATTCAATACCCATCATCAGGGAAATGTAGACTGGAATGAGATACTGCTAGATCCCTGTAGGATGGGTAAAATAAAGAGGACTGACACTACCGAGTGTTAGTGAAGATGAGCGACGGGAACTCTCGTACACTGCCGTTGGGAGTGTAAATTGGTGCGCCCACGATAACAGTATTTACTGAAGCTAACGCTCTGGTACCCTTTGACACAATCCCACTCCCTCACATACACTTAACAGAAATGCACGCAATAGTACAAGTATTTCTATATGAGCTTTGTTCCTAATAGCCTCAAACTAGAAACAACCCCAAATGAACAAATTGCAGTACATCTATACGATGGATTACATCTCAGAAACGAAAGGAAGGAACTGTCACAGCAACACCGACCCGCACAAACAGAATACTGAGCAAAAGCAGCCAGAATAGAATTCCATATATGTGAATTTCAAGAACAAGAAAGCAAAGCAGCGGAGGTCAGAGTCACGGTTACCTCTGAGGCGAGGCTGCTGACAGGGAAGGGGCACAAGGTTGTCCACCAGGGCTCTGGAAATGGGTCTCTTCAGCTGAGTGACACTTCCCT